GGATGGGGACAAAAGAGAGGGAATGCGAAAGAAGGGGAGAGTAAGAGAAAACAAAAACCGAATGTAAAGGGTGTTCTGTAGAGAGTGTTCTTGGAGATAATAGGAGTCTAGTGATGGGATGTAGAGGTGTGAGTGGCGAGAGGAGAGAGGATCAATGGAGACACTTCTGTAGCCCGCCCATCCTATTTTAATCTATCCATAAAAGTATTATGGCATTCAACCCTACCCGTGCCAACTCATCCCAATTATCCTATCTCTCACCAACCATCATCTCTCATGCCACCCATCCTGCCTCATGCTAGATCATGCCACCCATACTATCTTATGGCATTCATACTATCTCATGCCATTCATACTATCTCATGTTATTCATGCTATCTCATGCCATTCATCCCAGGATGCAACGCCGCAAAACAAGACTGGTAGGTAAGTGGCTGGCATGGTGATAGATGGTCGCTGTATGGAGATCTGGTGGTGATGGGTACAAAGATTCAGGTAGTCCATTTCAGCCTACCCCTCAAATCAATATGGGACCCTGCTCGTAAATATCTGACAAACAATGTAGTTTACAGCAAATGGCTTACCAGACTTCAGTCTAGTCAGACTTCTCAATCGCTCTTTCCCAACTCACCTGCTCTTTCCCAACTCACCTGCTCTTTCCCAACTCACCTGCTCTTTCCCAACTCACCAGGTCGGTCTCTCTCAACGCCAGCAGGTGGTTGGTCCCCCCCGTCCAATGCATGCTTCACCATGCCTAGCTCACGCCTTGTTGCACGTGTTGCTGGGGTGTTTTTACTTACCGGATCGGCCTCCCTTTCTGTGCCAGCATTTGATTGATACCCTCCTCCGCTACATGCCTCACTCATGCCTGGATCACGTATGCATGCACATGCACACACACACGCAACGCGGGAATGTGTTTTCATGCATAGAGGTGCACTTGGGTAAAAGCACATACGCGTAACCACAAAATTTCACGTAAACTAACATACATATCCAACCTACATATCCAACAAACATATCCAGCATACATATCCAACATACATATCCAACATACATATCCAACATACATACCCAACACACATACACAACATCACAAATATCAACAGAGGTCCATACAAGCAACGCAGCGCCCGCATGTGGATTCCCGCCAACCTCGGTAAGCAGCTCCCACGTTCAAGGGAAAGGGTGAGACAGGCTCTGTGAGTTGAAAGGCTTCATTTGTTGAGGGCCACAGCAGAAGCCTAGGGAAAAAATAGTGAAATGGGGAAAGATTAGGGAAAAAATCGAGGAACGTGGAGAAAAACGACAGGCAGGAAGGAAGAGCTGCAAACACGCAGCACACACTGAATGAGGATCTGCAACCACTGGATGAGAAGCTTCAACCAGGATGAGTGTGAGACATTTGAGGTGATTGTGAGCGATTTGCGTACCGCCCTGACGATTGGGAAGGTGGCAGCACATCCCGCACAGGATGACGCAGTTAAGTGTTCAATGGGCATATGTGCATTGAGCGAATAGAAAAGCCAAGGATTGGATGGGGAAAGTGGAAGAAGGGGAGAAGGAAAAAGGGCAGATAAAGGTGAGAGCAAGAGGTAAAAACGTCTCCTTCAACATTGCACACAGCAGAGACTACAGCTTTGAAAGCTGTAAGTTTTGGGTTGTTACCATGCAATTCAGCCTTGAAAATTTGTCAGAGCAATGAGGGATGGGGATAAGGGAAGTGAAGAGACTACCACCTGAGATTGCGCATACACCCTCCACGCACCTGTGCTCACGCACCCGTGCACACCCCTGCACCCATGCACCCATGCACCAATGTGCCCATGCACCCATGTACCCATGCACCAATGTGCCCATGCACCCATGCACCCATGCACCCATGCACCCATGCACCGATGTGCCCATGCACCCATGCACCCATGCACCAATGTGCCCATGCACCCATGCACCCATGCACCAATGTGCCCATGCACCCATGCACCCATGCACCAATGTGCCCATGCACCCCTGCACCCCTGCACCCCTGCACCCATGCACCCCTGCACCCATGCACCCATGCACCCCTGCACCCATGCACCCATGCACCCCTGCACCCATGCACCCCTGCACCCATGCACCCCTGCACCCATGCACCCATGCACCCATGCACCCCCGCACCCATGCACCCATGCACCCCTGCACCCATGCACCCCTGCACCCATGCACCCCTGCACCCATGCAACCGTGCTAATGCCCATTCACTAACAGGCAGTATAGAGCATCCATGGCACGCCATGATGCCATGACGCCATGATTCCAACATGCAATCACACCTTTATTGAATATGGGGGAAGGTCCTTCAAGTCAATGGGTGCGTCGAGATAAAAAGACACTCCCTCCAGGCGATTGAGAAGCGGAATTAGGCTGGTGGGGTTGGGGGAAGATGGGGAAGGAGGAGGGTTCAGTACAGAGCAATTTCATTCCATGAGATGCCATTCCATGCCATTTATTCTCATCGCATCCCACCCCAACCATCCCATCCCATCCCATCCCAAGTTACCGCATGCCACCCTACCCCACCCCACCCCACCGCACCTCACCTGGGGAGGCTGTTGCCGGGAGCAACCGTGACAGGACTGAAATCCGTGGTGGGGTCAAGACTGGTGAGGCTCCTCAAGGGCACACCATGAGAGGTAACATCTTACACTGAGGTGTAATTTGAGGCGCCTCAAAATACATCCGTGGTGGGGTCAAGGCTGGTGAGGCTCCTCAAGGGCACACCACAAAAGGTAACTTCTTACACTGAGAAGCTCATATAAAGTATGAGGCTATGGCTTGACATAGCTGAAGCTGCAAGGGCGAAGTTTGGATGGGGATGGGTGGGATGAAATGGGGATTGGTGGGATGCGATGGCATGGTGGGATGGGATGGAGATGCATGTGGATAATGAGGAACAATCACCTAAACTGCCCGCCCATCCTGCTCACCACGTCTCACCTCACTTCATTTCAACTCACCCCATCACTCTTTGCCAACCTAGGGACAGATGATCTTCATGTGTCAGTGATCCCTTTCCTGGTTACTACAATACTACTTCAGATTGCCTCCCCGTTTACCTGACCAAGCACCTGACCAAGCACCTGACCAAGCACCTGACCCAGCACCTGACCCAGCACCTGACCCAGCACCTGACCTGGCACCTGACCCGGCACCTGACCCAGCACCTGACCCGGCACCTGACCCAGCACCTGACCCAGCACCTGACCCAGCACCTGACCCGGCACCTAACCCAGCATCTGACCCTCCATGGAAGCCCACCTTTCCATAACACTGCCTACAGATGGCTGCGGCACTAGAAGCAGCACCTTGCAACACCTGGCATCACCTGAAATGGCATCACCTTACAACACCTGGCAGCACCTGAGGGTTACCTGGTGGGGAGGGTTACCTGGTGGGGAGGGTTACCTGGTGGGGAGGGTTACCTGGTGGGGAGGGTTACCTGGTGGGGAGGGTGACCTGGTGGGGAGGGTTACCTTTTTTACTCGAATCATCGAGATGGTTACCTGGAAGCAAGAGCCCCATACCCGTCTCTGCCACTACTGGCAGAGGTAGAGCGAGAGAAGGATGAATCACTTGCTGTGTGGCAGCAGGGAGAGCAGTCGACCTGTTTCGGCCACTGCTGGTAGCACCCTGCCCTTTGATGATGTGATGCCACCTGGTGGGATGCTGAGGGGAGGCATTATGGCATGGAAGGGTGGAGGCATGGATGGAGGCATGGATGGAGGCATGGATGGAGGCATGGATGGAGGCATGGAGGGAGGCATGGATGGAGGCATGGATGGAGGCATGGATGGAGGCATGGATGGAGGCATGGATGGAGGCATGGATGGAGGCATGGATGGAGGCATGGATGGAGGCATAGATGGAGGCATGGATGGAGGCATAGATGGAGGCATGGATGGAGGCATGGATGGAGGCATGGATGGAGGTATGGATGGAGGTATGGATGGAGGTATGGAAGGGAGGCATGGATGGAGGCATGGATGGAGGCATGGATGGAGGCATGGATGGAGGCATGGAAGTGATCATTGCAATGAAATGATAAGCCCCCCTGGCTGCAAAGGAAGCCAATGCACTTCAGCCACTCGGGTCCCTCTGCTTGCTCGGAAGTTCGTTTCTCGCTCTCCCCTCTGCCAGCACTCTGAATCACTCCTTTGGCAGATGGATTTCACCTGGTGGCGCAGGAGATGGTGTGTCAGACAACATTCCTATGCCACCTAATCTCCAGGTTGCAACTTCTCTCCACACAAGACAAGGAAAGGTGCAATGTGGATTGGTCCACTCCCCATCCCAGCCCTACCACCCTCAGCCGTGCGAGCTCTCAAAACCGGACCACACTAATGCCACTCCCTCCTACAATAAGGCCATTTTTGACAAGTCCGCCTACCAGCAGGGTGGGCATGGGGATGGATCGCAGTACGGCATCCGACAGACCTGACTGGTCGTTGAGCAGCAGTGACAGCCCTGACTGGTTCTTAAGTTGACCCTGGTCCAAGCAGTTCAAGGAAGATGTAAGCAAGCTCCTGGCACATTATAACAACAATACAATAGCCATGTTGACTTTTGAGTCGACTCTTGGCACACTATAACAACGATACAATAACCATGACAACAATAGCAAGAATATAATGGGATAGGAGTGAAGTCTATGCAACAATGTGTGCTGCTTAATCCTGGATGCTTGGAACGACAAACGGTTTTTGCCGATAACGACAGACCTCAACGACAGAGCTAAACGTTGGATATCTACGATGCATGGGATGAGCAGTGCTGGGATGAGCAGCGCTGGGATGAGCAGCTCTGTGCGTGGGATGGCTAGATGAACCCGGCGATCGGGAGGAGCTTGGACGAAGTAGCACTGCTGGCGGTGCTCCGTTGGAAGTGCTGCTGCGGCCATGCTCCTAGCGAACACTAGTCAGGGTGTGCCATTTTGAACCTTCCACTGTTCTGGGAGAAGACTAATACGGTCCGCCCATCCCTCCACCCATCCCTCCGCCCATTTCTCCGCCCATCCCTCCGCCCATCCCTCCGCCCATCCCTCCGCCCATCCCTCCCCCCATCCCTCCCCCCATCCCTCCCCCCATCCCTCCGCCCATCCCTCCCCCCATCCCTCCGCCCATCCCTCCGCCCATCCCTCCCCCCATCCCTCCGCCCATCCCTCCGCCCATCCCTCCGCCCATCCCAGGTCCACCCTGGCCGGGTGCTGCCTGCGACCCTGGAGCAAACCACCCTGACCCGCCCATTCCTCCGCGGCCCATGCCTCCGCCGCCCATTCCGCCGCCTCGCATTCCGCCACCGCCCATTCCGCCTCCGCCCATTCCGCCGCCACCCATGCCGCTGCCGCCCATGTTTCCTCCAGGACCCATGGCTCTGTTAGAGGGCCCTACGACAGCAAGGGCCCTCGATGACCTTTGACTTGGCAGGTCGGCGCCTAACGACTGAGTCTACTCGGCACCGACGCACGAGTTCGGTGGCGGTCATTAGTGACTACGGGTGACTGTGAGCTACTGCAGCGAACTCGGCGGAATCGGTGCTAGGAATGACGAGTCTTGGGGGTCGTAGGTGCCTTGCTTGTGAGGCACGCTGCTCACTTGCTGTGTTGGCAGGAGTAGCGTGCACGGTGAGACATTCCGGTGCCGAGTTGGGTTGGAAATGTGCGGGGCGCGTTCACCCACCTGCACAGCACTTTCGTGTGGGTTGGGTTACTCGCAGCGCCACGCAACAATTGTGCAACTCTTGCTTGCCTATATATGTTTGTGTTTGCTTGTGTGTTTGATAGTTGATATTGCAATTCTACTTGGCCCAAATGCTACTTCAATTCTCACAAAGTCCTTAGAGGCAAACGCTACCAAAACTCTACCAAGTTGCTGGCGCAACATCATTCCCATAGCAGAGACTCTCTCGCTATCGCTACGCTCTCTAATATATTCTTTCAGGCTCCTTGTGATCCGGGAGCAGACGACCCAGGTCCGCCCATGCCACCGCCCATTACGCTGCCGCCCATTCCGCCGCCACCCATTCCGCCACCGCCCATTCCGCCGCCGCCCATTCCGCCGCCGCCCATTCCGCTGCCGCCCATTCCGCCGCCGCCCATTCCACCGCCACCCATGCCGCCTCCGCCCATTCCGCCGCTACCCATTCCGCCGCCGCCCATTCCGCCGCCACCCATGTTTCCCCCAGGACCCATGGCCGATTGCGAACCTGGAGCAGAGGAACCAGGTCCGCCCATGCCCCCTCCCATTCCGCCACCGCCCATTCCGCCGCCGCCCATTCCGCCGCCGCCCATTCCGCCGCCGCCCATTCCGCCGCCACCAATGCCGCCGCCGCCCATTCCACCACCGCCCATTCCGCCACCGCCCATTCCGCCGCCACCCATTCCGCCGCCGCCCATTCCGCCGCCACCAGTGCCGCCGCCGCCCATTCCGCCGCCGCCCATTCCGCCGCCGCCCATTCTGCCGCCGCCCATTCCGCCTCCGCCCATTCCACCGCCACCCATTCCACCGCCACATCGCGAAAAAGGACTTGCCAGAAAGCTGCAGGAAAGTTGCAAAAAGGATACTTTTTGGATACCTTGGTTTTGCAACTTTCCAGTGATGGTCAAATGTTGCAGAAATCGTGGTTGCGGGAAAGTTGCGAAAAAAGTTGCATTCCTGCAACTTTCCCGCAACACAACCGCAACTTATCGGACAATCTTTGGACACGTTGCGTATACATTTCAGTCACATGTATGCAGTTTCACCACCTGCCACGTGGCATGCGTACAGTTTCGACTTCGAAGTGTACGTACGCTAGAACGTTCGCGAAGATATTTTGCCACGTAAGCAAAGATATTTCTGCCAAGTGTCATTCTCAATTTGTGAACGGCAGCTTGCCACGTGGACCAATCGGACAAGACTTCGCGTGTGCGGAAATTGAATTCTACTGGCCGACAATTTGTCTGAACAGTACAAGCGGACCATTCGTTTCAGGGGTCATTTGTTACAGGTGGGGTTGGAGGTATGGAGCCTGTACGCAATTTACAATATTATGGACGTCTGCATACATATGATGTATACACATTGCGCTAGCTATACGGAACAACGAACACCTAAAACCAACAACTAGTACATAGCGTTAGGTCCTACAGGCAGTCACACAGGGCGAAATCATGCTTCGTTTTAAAGCCTGCAAACACGAAGACGACATAATGTTAGACTTTGGTTAGTGATATGCTTGTTCCCCACCTTAGTGACATATCACCCAGGGGCTTGCCGTGCGCTGATAAAATTGCCGTGAATGTGCTTGATAGCTACTGGATCTTGATACCCCCCTGCATATGAAAATTAACATGTCGTTACTTCCATTAACCCTGCACATGAATATTAACCCTGAAACACGACGACTAAGAACAACAGACATAAAACCGTTATCGTTAAAGGCTACATTCCAGACATCATGGGATAAGAACGCGCATGGTAAAAGGCTCAAGCAGAGGCAGAGAGAGACCTTCGTGCGACTACCACACCTTCGCTCTCATGCAGAGAGCGTAGCGACGATTTGTGCATTGGGAGGCTGCACGGGAAACCAACAACGTAACTGGTTTAGGTGGCTCATGCGGGCAATTCGAAATGGGAGAAAATGGATCTGCATACATCTCGGAAAGAAATGAACAAAATCGAGAAGAGAAGAAGCATAAACCGTGAAAATAGATGAAAGAGAAGATAAGAACAGGAGTGATGGGCGTTACATGATTCTGTATGCTTTCGATTTTCAGTATGCGGGATGTGTAGGTCAATGTGTTTAGCACACTCACCGGCGTTTTCCGCGCAGAACACGGCACTTCCGCTGCCGGGCAACGGGCTTTTCGTCGATGCGTCCGTAGATAGACGGGCGCTGAGTCCGATGCGATTCGCGCGCAGAACGTCCTCCGCGTGAAGAGAGCAAGGTGAAGAGCTGTAAATGGGACGGGACGTAGAAAAGGAGGGGACAGATGCAGGATGAGACGGTAGATGTGGTCAGATGTTAAAGGATTGATACTTCATTTACTAGTGTACTAGATACACGGACGTAAGACGTACGTTCTACAGTATACGCTTGCTGAGGGGACGGCAGAGGCACGAGCTAGGTTGAAATGGAACGATAACCTCAGAAAGTTGTGTGAACAATGAGATGGGCAACTAGCGGTGTAGGGAGAGATACACGCTTAGTGTGAGAGATGCTTCTAGAGCTCCAAAGTGTGATGATGTGTCGTCACGGATGCCGTAGATTTCTGGTGTAGGTTAGATCAGACCAGTAATTGGTCAGTAAAAAATCACGAGGTTGTTTTAGCTCAATCCCGGTTACCTGAGCTGTGGTCCGGGGAAGCCACGTCACGTACCCAGAATCTGAACACTTAATTTGATTGGTTATGACATGGAACTGTATGCCAGCTGCCAGTTTAGATTCTGGGTTGTGCCTTGGCGAGCCTCGTTATATTTTGTATCCCAGTTACTGTGCTCGCAACGTTCGACTATGCCTACCTGATTCGTCCTGCAGTGTTCATCAGTCGTACACCAGCAGGGGGGACTCCCGAGGTTTGGTCGTGACCAGGTGTACTGTTCGGTGAAGATGTTTCGAAAATGATGCAATAAATTCGCAGCTCGGGCAACCCACGTATCCAACATTCGCGCCTCGGGTAACCCACGTATCCAAAATGCGCGGCTCGGGAGCCAGGTTGTATCCGAAATTGGTGCATGTTGCATTTTTCACTCAGTGCTTTTCGGATACTTTTCTGGTACGTTTCTGCAACTTTCCTGCAGCCTTCAGACTTAAACTCGAATTTGAGCAAAAACCTTTTCCGCGATGCACCCATTCCACCGCTACTCATTCCGCCGCCACCCATGCTGCTTCCGCCCATTCCGCCGCCACCCATTCCGCCGCCACCCATTCCGCTGCCGCCCATGCCGCCGCCGCTCATTCCGCCGCCACCCATTCCGCCGCCACCCATTCCGCCGCCGCCCATACCGCTTCCACTGATTCCGCCGCTCTGCTGCTGCTGCTGCTGCTGCTGCTGCTGCTGCTGCTGCTGCTGCTGCTGCTGGCCGGTCGGGCTTCCGCCTCGCGCCCATCCGCGCATCACCCCCCGCAGCTTGTCCGCGCGGAGCCCCGCGGAGAAGAGATAGGCCAACGCCGCGTGGAGAGACGAAACAAGAACAAGTGAGAGGAGGAGAAGGGCCGCGCTCAGGTCACGGCGACGACGCTGGCTCGACGAAAATGAGACTCTCTGCGCCATTGTGCTTGTGCACTGCCTAGGATGCAGCTAATATCTCCACGGAAAAACAAATCTAGCTGTCAAGGAGCAATCTAGCTTCCTAGGAGCTTGGAAGTGAAGACACGGAAGCAGCTACAGAATCGGAAAGCTTCAAGTCCAAAATGAGGCTCAGTGAATGTGATGAAGAGTGAATGAGTTGCCAAATGCCGTGTGCATTTTTGTACCCTCATCGCGTCGCCAACGCTGGGCATTTTATTTGCGCGGCGCGATGACTCAAACTGAAAGCAATGGACAGAGGCCCTCGGCGAGTCAAACGCCCTTGAAATTCCAGTCAATGACTCGAAAAAATGTTGACCACTGTAGCTTATTCCACCCCCCTCAACGAAATTGGAAGAAACTCGAATCCCGTTTTCAATCTGACCCGATATGAGAGCTCGTCGTTGTGAGTACCACAAGCGTCAACTTCAGACTCTGGTTATCTCGAATGCCTGAAAGAACCACCGTGTGTTTTCTTATTCCCAGCAGTGATAAGCTGTCCTTCCACGATCGCGAATCTATGACCAGACAAGTCTCGTAGTGACTCTGACAATCTGGTGAGCTCACCCCAGGGGCGCCACGTAAGATGACGCGATCCGCGGCTTGCTCTACTAAGCTGACGTGGCAAAATGCCGAAGTCGCTCGGCGGCAGGGCAGGGGGGCTTAGAAACGAGGCAAGAACGCAGAGGAATTTCGCGAGAGCGAAATTCCATTTCGACGTCGCGCAGCGACTCCGCCGCCGCGTGCCCCGTCGCGTCATGCTTCAACAATACGTGGCGGAGAAGGGGGAGGAAAGAGGGGGTTAGTGATGGTTCAGAGCACACGCGCAGTAAGCCCAGAAGTGTTTCCTGCAAAGTAGAGGAGAGTCCTTTACATCAAGAAGATCCCTAAGCGCACACCTTGAGATTATCCACCCGGTCTTGGGACATATTAAGCCTGACTGAGTTTGCTGCTCGCTGAGAATATGTCCCAAGTGATGGTTCAGAGCACACGCGCAGTAAGCCTCAGAAGATCTCTAAGCGCACAACTTGAGATTATCCACCCGCCCATGTCGTGCCGCTGCCTTTGCTCCTCGCTGCGACTTGCAAACATGCGACTCGCATTGCGTGCAGTCTCGTTTCTTAGCTCGGCGATGGCGGCAGATGGACAACAGCGAGACCCGCGCTCCGCCATGCGCAGCTCGTCAGCGTGCTGTCACCTGTGACCCGCAATCGCTGCCATGCTTGCCGTGCCTGCCTCTTCCCTTGCATGTTGCCACATGTCCCCTGCCCTGCCCTGATTACTATGCCACGTTCGCCTAGTCGCCGTCTCTGCGTCACTCCATACCTCCGCGTCTCACACCCTCGCACTTCTTCAGCCGTCCCCATGCCGAGCCCTAACCCCCCTAACCACCCTACCGGTCTTCCCGCTTTCCCAGTCGCCCCAGGCACTCCCAGCCTTCCCACCCACCCGCACCCTCACAAGCTCAGATGTGCCATGCGGCAGGAGAGAGATCCAGTGTGCTGCTCCAGTCTTTGTGACTTTTGAGTCGACTCAAAAGTCGCCATGCGGCAGGAGAGAGATCCAGTGTGCTGCTCCAGTCTTTGTGACTTTTGAGTCGACTCAAAAGTCGCCATGCGGCAGGAGAGAGATCCAGTGTGCTGCTCCAGTCTTTGTGACTTTTGAGTCGACTCAAAAGTCGCCATGCGGCAGGAGAGATCCAGTGTCGGTTGCTCTAGTCTTTGTCCGCTCACTCGCTTTGTTTGAGGTTGATTTTGAGAATTCTCAAAAGCAACCTGAAAGAAAGCAGGAGAGATCCACTGAACAAGCCAATCCACTGCCCGTCCCGTCGATTCACTGCCGTGTCAACCCCTCCCATCCCTCCACCCTCCCACGCTCCCAGCCTTCCCACCACTCTCACCACTCCGGCACCTCGTGGTTCTGCCAGCACTCACCGCCTAGTTCCCCTCTGCTCTTACTACCTGTGTCCTCCAAGCTCCGTGCTCCCCGGCTGCTCATCCGTCCCTTTCTCCTGGTTTTTCCCTCCCCATCACCGTGTGCCTCGAATGGCAGGAGTGGCAGGAGGGGCACGAGGGGCAGGAGTGGAAGGAGGGGCTGTGGCGCGGGCAAGCCGGCTGCTGCTAGCAGCGGTTCATGCTGCTGTGACTGTATCGAGGCTGCTGTGACTGTATCGAGGGTGCTGCTGAAGCATGGTCCGCCTGACAGCTGCGACGTCGCCCAGCTCCATACGCTGTGAGTGCGCGGGCAGGCTGCTGCTACCAGTGGTCCACACGCTTACGTAGCGAATTCTGAGCGAAGAGTGGAGGATTGTGAGCAAGTTTTGAGAAGTCTCAAAAAGGCAACCGACGAGTGGAGAGGATTGCTGGCTGATACTGCTTGGCTTGGACAGTGAGTCCCTTCCCACGCTGGCATTGCTCAGACGCTGACTTTAGTTCCCACCCACCCATGCTGTCACTCTATCAAAACTGCCTGAATACAATGCTCCCCTGCCAGTAGGAGACTCTCACGCACTTATCAACAAGCAATCACATTCCTCAACCTTTCCGCCTCCCCTGTTTCCCCCTCCTTTTCCCCTCCCCATCCCTCCTCCCCCATTCTACCTCTCCTCCTCCCTCGTCTCCCTTCCCCTTTCTCCGTTTCCTATTCCCACCTCATTCCTCCTCCCCATTTCCCTTTTTCCTGTCCTTCTCCCACTTCCCCCTGCCCCTCTCCCCATGCCCTTCCTCCTGATTGTTCCTCCCCTTCCCCTTAAACCCTGTTTTTGCCCACCTGCAGGAGTCCGGCTCGCAGCTCACCACGGGCCTCACATGCGTTTGTTCTGCTAAAGGATTTTCCTAAGCTGCAGCTCGCCTGGTCTCATGGCTGCAGCTCACCACGGGCCTCACATGTGACCCACCTCCTTGCACTGAACCCCACCGTCCTGCACCTCGATCTGTTTCCCCCTTTCCCATTCTCCCTCACCTGCAGGACTTCGGCACGCAGCTGGCCACGGGCCTCACATGCGACTCGCCGCCCTGCAATGTGAGCGAGTGGGGGAGGGCGGAGAGGAAGGGGGAGGGCGGTGGGGAGGATGGGGGAGGGTGGGGAGGAAGGCGGAGGCCGGTGGGGAGGATGGGGGAGGGTGGGGAGGAAGGGGGAGGGCGGTGGGGAGGAAGGGGGAGAATGTACCATGTCAATCACATGAGGCTGCATGAGAGGGCGGGGAATGGTGGGAGATGGAGGAATGGTGGGAGGGAGGGAGGGAGTGGTGCATCGAGGTGGGCCGGCCGTACAGGTGTAGAGACTCAGACAGCCGTGTGAGTTCTGATCTGAGGCGCTTCAAAACTCACCTCAGTGGGCCGTCGCTACCCTACAGGTGTAGACACTCAGTCAGCCGGCCGACCAGCTCGTGTTCTTGGTATCTCTGTGCATGTGGGCACCTGCACAGGTGGACTTTGAGCATTTTTCTCAAGTGCAGCGTGCCTAATCATTCCTTCAGCCGACCAAGTTTCCGCTCGGCAGTGATTACTTCCATCCATTTTTCTCCTTGCACCTTGCCGTTTTTCCCTTGCTGCCACCCTGGAATTGGGTCAGCAGAGGGTGACACGGGGGTGGCGTGTGTTGTCAGCAGAGGGTGGCGTGTGTTGTCAGCAGAGGCTGGCGTGTGTTGTCAGCAGAGGGTGGCGTGTGTTGTCAGCAGAGGGTGGCGTGTGTTGTCAGCAGAGGGTGGCGTGTGTTGTCAGCAGAGGGTGGCGTGTGTTGTCAGCAGAGGGTGGCGTGTGACGCTGGTTCAGATGCGTTCTGACTCCTGAGGTGAGCATGCTGTGCTGTCAGTGATTGTGCATGCTCGCTCATTGTGTTGCAGCATGTGCTGGCAAAGGTTGTGTGTGCTCTTGTATGTGCAGCGTGTGTTACTGATGATGGATGGGCAGCCAGCAGTAGAGCTGAAGGAACAGGTGGCACATCCATCATGGAACAGGTGGCACATCCATCATGGAACAGGTGGCACATCCATCATGGAACAGGTGGCACATCCATCATGGAACAGGTGGCACATCCATCATGGAACAGGTGGCACATCCATCATGGAACAGGTGGCAGCAGTGGTGCCTCAGAGAATCAATGGAGCAGCCAGCAGTAGAGCCGAAGGAACAGGTAGCATGAACAGCTTTTGCAAAAAGAAGGGGCACTGGTGGACAGGGGCACTGGTGGACAGGGGCACTGGTGGACAGGGGCACTGGTGGACAGGGGCACTGGTGGACAGGGGCACTGGTGGACAGGGGCACAACACAAGCATCTGATTCTTTTTTTCCAAGGTTGATTGCTTCATCTCAACCTGTTTGATTTATCTCACCATGCCTGATTCTTCTCACCGTGCTCGTTTCATCTCACCGTGCTCGTTTCATCTCACCGTGCTCGTTTCATCTCACCGTGCTCGTTTCATCTCACCGTGCTCGTTTCATCTCACCGTGCTCGTTTCATCTCACCGTGCTCGTTTCATCTCACCATGCTCGTTTCATCTCACCGTGCTCGTTCATCTCACCGTGCTCGTTTCATCTCACCGTGCTCGTTTCATCTCACTGTGCTCGTTTCATCTCACCGTGCTCGTTTCATCTCACCGTGCTCGTTTCATCTCACCGTGCTCGTTTCATCTCATGGCTGGCTCCCACTGCGCTCAACCTCGATCCCTCTTTCCATCGTATACACCGTCAAACCCCCATCAAACCCCCGTCAAACCCCCCGTCCACTCCCCCCCACACCCCCTCCTCCCGTTCCTTCTCCTCCCCTTCCCTGACCTTCTGACTCCCAGCTTACTGTAATCACCCTTATTCAAAACTCTTTCAAGGAACACTCAGTTCTGTCCTTCATTTCTCTTCTTTCGCCTCCCAGTCTTCACCCTCACCCACCCATGCCGTTCCCCTCTCAAAATTTCCATTGCTGTTAAATACGCTTTATCTTCTCTGTTCTCTGTCCTCTGTCCTCTGTCCATTGAGGCGAGGGCTACTTTTGTTCTGATAGGCACCTTTGACAAGGCAGAGGGCTACAAGGTACCGTACCAGTAGCAGCCCCAAGCACATGACCGGGCGGTGCATGTTTCTGGTGCTTTTAGTGTTTATTCCTGGATGTACCCCAGGTTTTTCTTCCTCACAACTGTACAGTCTGTGTTGTAAATCGATTCATCTCTCCACCATTGACCAAAACCATTGTTTATTAGGACTACCTAGGTCAGACATATACCATACCGTATTACCCCGGATATAAGCACCTGCGCTTATAATAAAACAGTGTTTTTTTGGGGGGTGCGCTTATAATTGAGTAAAAATTATAAGCGCATGCGCTTATAATATAACAAATACAAATATATATTTCAATGGACCACATTGTACATCTCATCCTTCAGATTTCAATCGAATCGAAATTGTAGAAAGTCACATGTCAAAATCGCGCGCGGGCGATTCTTCGCGAGCGCCGAGACAAAATACAGTGTAACACCTCACTTTGAGGGCGTGCCAGCTCGTGCTGACTGGACGCGCAGGATGTGAGAGGTCTTCGAAAGTCAATGTAAGCGAAAATGGGTTGTGGCCTCGCTGCAAAACTGAGATTCGTTACCGTTTTAATGAAGAATTATAAATAAAATTACACATGCGCTTATAATATATCAGGGTTTTAGAAGGGGTGCGCTTATAATTGAGGATCGGCCATAAGCGCATTGCTCCAGATACAAGCGCATGCGCTTTTAATAGGCCTGCGCTTATATCCGGGGCCATACGGTATTTCAACTTGCATTGCTCAGCAACCAAACAAGGTGCAGTCCCGAATTCACAGCTCTGAATTTGATATTGGAAATGTTTTGGAGTCCCGAATCCACCCGTGCATGTCTTACATCTAGGCACCATTGCATAACTGTAGTATGGCATGTGCTGTGCGTTATCTCTGGATACAGCAGTTATACACAAATATGCAAACCCAAACAACCTCAAGGAGCCAACTTCATTTAGTACCAACCCCTTCTTCTCGTCACGTTCCCACCCTTGCCATGGCTGGCTATGTTGATATGACCTACCATGATTCGTCTTGGTACGACTTGAGTCCAAGCTTTATGTAAAGATCGAAAGGCATCGGGTCCTGCCCAAGCTTTTTGCAGCCCTGGAGATCCAGTACTCGCAGCAACGTTAAGCTACAGAGCTGTTGTGGCGGGAATTCAAGCTGCTCACAGTCACTCAGGTCCAGATATCTGAGTCGTGCCAAATGGTGGAAGTTGGGTGGGAGGGAGTGAAGTGCCGTCTTGCTGACATCCAATTTGTGCAGGTAAGTGAGGTTGGTGAATGAACTGGGCAGGCTTGTCAGGGAGGAGCAGTTACGCAGGCAAAGGTCGCCCAATCTTGATACGGAAGAGATGGTGTCAGGAAGATGGGTCAGTCTTGGAGCTTCAATAAGAAGGGAGGTGAGTTGCACCAACCGGGTTACACTTTCTGGAATCTCCGTCAGAGTTTCAGCTCCTTCCACATGCAGCTGTCGCAGCCGAGGCAGAGCAGAGCCAATATCACGAGGCAGATGTTGCAAGGACAAGGCATTTGAGATGTGCAGATCACGGAGGCGTGAAAGGAACCCGAGCAGGAGCGGAAGCTCAGTTTGTTCAGAGCCCAGGCGCATGTCCAGGTGCTCTATCTGAGAGAGGCAACGGCTGGTCGCTGGTGCGTCCATGATGATAACCTGACCCAAATTCAGCTTCCTAAGGTTCGAAGTTGTTGACAGGTCTGGAAGAATGATGCTGCTGGTGTCGTTTCCCAAGCTCAAGGTTTCCAGAGACCGCGGCAAAGATTCTAAAGTCTCCTGCAAAAGAACACAACCCGTCAGGTCCAGCTCCCGCATGCATGACAGGCTTCCCATAGCTCGAGGTGCAGACGCGAGCTTGATACACATGCAGGCCTTGAAAGTCTTCAGGCGGCTCAGTTGAGTGATGGATGCTGGCAGTGCTGTCAGCTCATTGCAGCAGCTCAAGGTCAACTCCCGCAGGTCACCAAGACGGCCTATACTTTCAGGAATGTTACCAATGGGACACGTGCTGATATCGAGCCGTGTTAGAGAAGAGAGTCGACTGAATGACGCCGGCAGCTGCTGCAGTTCTGCACACCAGCTCAGCACCAAATCGCGGAGATTAATCAGCTCGCCTATCTCCTCCGGAATTGCAGTCAGCCTTGTTCCCGCGATGCTCAACGATTCAAGAGCAGCCAAGCAGGAAATCGCTGCAGGGAGGATGTCAATGCTCACATGGTGCAAGGATAGCTTCTGAAGCCCTGTCAGTAACCCAATAGAATCTGGGAGTCTCTTCAGCGACAAGCTTCTCAACCTTAAGGACTTCAGCCCTGGGAAATCCCCAAAATTCTCGGGCAGGCTGGATATTCTGCAGTTGAAAATGGTTAGAACTTCCAAGGTGCTGAGGCTTGTGAGGGAATCTGGCACTATTATCTCAGTAAAAATACTGCTACCGGAAAGGCAGAGTTCGCGAAGTACTGGGAACCGCTCTTCAAGCTCCTCAGACGGGATGCTCGGAATATCGCTTAGCAGCAGACGTTGAAGACGGAAACACGGTGATTCTGGCGGAAACATTGAAGGGAAATCTGTTGACCCCCGCACGAATCCCAGCGAACAAAGATTTGTCAGTTGATTGAATGAGAAATCCCCCTCAAAACTGTGGAAGAATGTCGCTCCTGGAAAAAACAGGCTGGTCAGATTCGGAAGGCGAGTTAGCGGCGACATCTGATGTAACCGCATGTCCAGCTTTTGAATAGACAGCCTCGTGATTGAAGAAAGATTCGCGAAGTTGGGATCCACCAAAGGCGATATCCCTCCCAGTGACAGCGTGTGCAGGCGTGTCAACAGGAAGAACGAAGCCGGAAGCTTTGTGGTCCAATGGAGGCACTGGAGTGACAGCTGCTCCAAGCGGCGACAATGGCGGAAGAGAATGTCCAGCCCAGCTGTCGTCACGGGGTGATTTAGTTCGCCAAATTCGTCGATGTCCTTCTCCTCGTCACGATCAAGGTCGTCGTATGGAGCAATTCCTGTGCCGACATATAGAGCGGTTAGATTAGGTGACGAGGAGCCGAGAAATGCTAGGAAATCGTCGTCTATCGTTTCCATGCTTCCGTTGCTCAAGTGCAGGCGAGTGAGGTTCGGGAACGACACGAGGACGCGTTTGAGATACTCGCGAGACACCAGACGATCTCGTAAAACGCGAAGCGTTGTGACGGATTCGTGTGCGAGCTCTCGCCAGCGACGGCAGACTGAGGCAATGAGGAGAACGTGAGCGACATCGGCAGAGGCAGGAGGTGTCGAAAAATGCGGGTCAGGCTCTGAATCTTCGTTTTCCTCCCTTCTAGCGTAATCCGAGAGGATTAATGATGAGATCGGCTGAATGCCAGAAGATCCTGACAAGAACATGGTCAGGAAGACAATGGATCATGGTAGACATTCTCGTCTCAGGAATGACCTGCTAAAGCTCTGGTTTCTGCGACGTCTGATTGACCACCAACGCTAATTCTAGGGAAGGGCTGCCTCTGGAGAGGATTGTGATCAGGATTATAACTAAACCAGAACTTCAAGCAGAAGTCTTGTCAATCAGGCGATGAAAATTGAAGGTCCCGACGAGAACGGAGCTTCCCATGCCACTATTGGTAGTGTGATGGTTATCAGATTTTGGAGGGCAACACCATTCACCACAGGGCGATTTCGTCACTTGATAGTGGGTTGAACGAAACTCTCCTTGGCTCTCGCTTGTGTCATGCGGATGGGTATAATTTCGTTCGAAATGCACAATTTCGATGTTTCTGTACGAACCTAGGTAATCGAAATGACTGGTTGCGAGCAAAATTTGAAAGCTGGTAACCCCATCAGTTGAGTCGTTCGAGACTCATGAGTGAAGCAAACCAAGCAAACGTCATTCACACCTCTCAACCAAGCTCATTGAACTGCTGCACCCTCGTTTGGCGCTGCAGCGTGTCATTCCCGCCAAGCTGACACCAAATCAGCCCTCGCCATCATCACGTTCGGCATTTCGCAAGTCGCACGCACTCGCTCTCTGCGTGACTCCATTCCATACCTCCGTCTCATCTCACATCGCCCCCACATCAAATCGTCAGCACCTGATACCATCCACGCCTCCCACTTCCGCACCGCAGCCGCTCCAGCCTCCCTAACCAGCCCGACGGCCGAACAGGTAGATATTGCTTAAAGCAAGGGTGCACATTCCTAGGGGTGGTTTTTGGGGTTATTGTCATGTACACCCTTTGATGCCCAGTGATTCGCGAGCGAAAATTGGTTCCGATCGTATGCCTGGTGCGAGGTGACGACACCACACTAGCGATGCCACTCGAATTCGCCCAGGATTTGGGGGAACGCAAAGGAAGGAATTTAATTTACCACAATAATCGAAAGTGGCTTATTTACCAAAAACTTAGATTTCTAGTTTGGTGGTTCTGCTTGAATCGAAAGTGGCTTATTTCGTAATCAGGGAACCAGAAGTACGTCGGTTTCATTTAGGCTTAGGCGATACAGAAGGCCTGGTTAATTTTGCTCTTTCTCTGAAAGGAATTGTACTTGCAGCAATGCCATCATCTCGTCATCGCCCGCACTCGTCGTCGTCCCGCCAGCACGCATTCCTGGCCACTCCTGCAATAGTCGAAGCCACCTTGTGGTTGGTTCCTCCACCTCTCACCGCATTGTTCTCCTCGTCTCTTTCTGCCACCTGCTGCCGCTCCAAGCTCCGTGCTCCCCGGCTCATACTCCAGCCTGATTCTTCCCTGCTGGTCGCGGGATGCCTCAAGTAGCTGGAGTAGCTGTCGCGGGAGCATGGCTGCTCCTCGCAGTGATTCTTGCTGCTGTGACTGTATCGAGGCTGCTGCTGCTGAGAGATGGTTCGTCTGACAGCAACGGCATCACCCGCCAGGTATTGTGGCTGATTTCACCCGGCTCGTGTAACAGGCAGTTTTTGAGGCGATTCGAGTACTGCACAGGCACTTAACACGTGCACGCTCTGCTCTTGGTGTGTGCACGGGGAAGGGAAGCTCTGCGTGCCGCATGACCCCGTTCTGCTCCCATCCTGCTCCCATTCGGTTTCCGGGTGTGAGCCCTGGCATCCGCCGTCGCTTCAGCTCAATCTGCGCTCCCTCTTGTGGTGTATGCGTGTGTGTCTGGTGTGTGGTGTATGCGTGTGTGTCTGGCGTGTGGTGTATGCGTGTGTGTCTGGTGTGTGGTGTATGCGTGTGTGTCTGGTGTGTGGTGTATGCGTGTGTGTCTGGTGTGTGGTGTATGCGTGTGTGTCTGGTGTGTGGTGTATGCGTGTGTGTCTGGTGTGTGGTGTATGCGTGTGTGTCTGGTGTGTGGTGTTTGCGTGTGTGTCTGGTGTGTGGTGTATGCGTGTGTGTCTGGTGTGTGGTGTATGCGTGTGTGTCTGGTGTGGGGTGTATGCGTGTGTGTCTGGTGTGTGGTGTATGCGTGTGTGTCTGGTGTGTGGTGTATGCGTGTGTGTGTGTGCATGCGTGCGTGCATGCGTGCGTGCGTGCGTGCGTGCGTGCGTGTGCGTGCGTGCGTGCGTGCGTGCGTGCGTGCGTGCGTGTGTGTGTGTGTGTGTGTGTGTGTGTGTGTGTGTGTGTGTGTGTGTGTGTGTGTGTGTGTGTGTGTGTGTGTGCACGTGCGGGCACGTGCGGTCGTGTTGGCGCGCGCGTGTGCTTGAATGCAACCACAGATGTACGTGCTCTACACAGCGCTCTGCCCGTTCCTAGGGCTGCTCTGGTTGATGGACGTGTCTCGAGCACAAGTCAGGGCGTGGTTGCAGCGACAGGGCTCAGCTGCAATGGAGTGGGTGCAACAGCAGGGCGCTGCTGTAATGGCGTGGGTGCAGCAACAGGGCTCCGCTGTGAGGGCGTGGGTGCAGCAACAGGGCTCCGCTGTGAGGGCGTGGGTGCAGCAACAGGGCTCCGCTGTGAGGGCGTGGGTGCAGCAACAGGGCTCCGCTGTGAGGGCGTGGGTGCAGCAACAGGGCTCCGATGTGAGGGAGAAGCTGGTGAACCTGAGGAGAGCAGCTTGGTCTCTCATGGTATGTCATTGGCTATGCAGTTTATGCCATGCTCGTTTCCTTTACCATGCCAGAAATTGCAATTGTATTACAGCTCTGTGACAATCTCTGGTTTCAGCTTCTTGTCATGAGTTTGTGTGGATCTCGAATGAAAGCGAAACCCTTTTTGTTTGTTGCACGCAGCACTCTCAAGAACCCCTTCAAACTCCTGATACCTCACTCACTCAGCCTCCAGCCTCTGGACTAAAATCACTCAGCCTTCCCACTCCGCCTCTGCTACCACTCATCCGAACCCATTCTCCCTCTGCCTGCCCTCTAAACGCCTCTCCCCTCACCATGCCACAGACACTTCGGATATTCCCGCGTCTCCACGATGCCATGTGAGAATCACTGGCCTTGCCAGCTGTGCTGGATGCTGTTGTCTCGTGTCTTGTCACTTGTGTTGTCACATGTCACTGGCTCTCCTGTGCTGTGCCGTCCAAGGATCCTTTCTCGCTCCGTGTCGTTCCATGTACTGCATATCGTATCTCCTCACGTTCTCGTATGCTCCTATCCTCATTCCCCTTATTGCCTTACATATGTCGTCTCAAATGCTCTCGTTTCCATCCCCATGTGCTGTCGCGGGCAGTGAGCTGTGCACGTCAGGAATGCGAAGCGTGAGTGAAGCTCTTGTGGCGGCTTTCAGGCAAAGGGAAGGAACAGACGCGCTGAATCAAGTAATGGAGAGGAGAATAAGCGCTCTTAACATGCAGCTTGCAGCAATAAGGAGAGAGGTGGATGAGGCTGAGAGGAAGAGAGCAGCGGAATGGAGTGAGCTGCAAAGGCAAGTGGAGGAAATGAGAGAGAGAGAGCAAGCAGTGGTTGCTGAGGTGGTCAGGGAGAGGGAAGAGCTGGAGAAGGTGAGGAGGGAGGTGGATGATCTGAGGGGGCGATTAGCAGAAGCAATGGGCAGGGAGAGGCGTGAGATCAGAAAATGGCTGAACCTGATGGTGGCGGAGAATGTGGAATGGGCGAGGTACCAACAGATTGCGGAATGGGCTGCAGATAAATGGGCGGCAGAGATCGAGGAATGGGCGGTGGTGAAACGGATAGCAGAGGAACAGGAGGCAGAGGAACGGGCGGCGGTGGGACCGATGCTTGCAGAATGGGCAGCAGAGGACCAGGCTATGGCGAAATGGGAGGCAGAGAAATGTGCGGCAGAGGAACGGGCACTGGCGAAATGGTTGGAGATTGAACTGGAGGTGGAGGAATGGGAGGCAAAGGAACGGGAGGAAAAGGAACAGGCGGCAGAGGAGCGGATGGTTGCACAATGGGCAGCAGAGGACCAGGCGGAGGCGGAATGGGCGGCGGAGGAAGAGGAACGGGCGGTGACAGAATGGATGGCAATACAACAGGAGGCAGAGGAGTGGGAGGCAGAGGGGCGGATGGTTGCAGAATGGGCAGTAGAGGACCAGGCGGAGGCAGAATGGGCAGCCAAGGAAGAGGAACGGGCGGTGGCGAAGTGGTTGGCAGTGGAACAGGAGGTGGACGAATGGGTGGCGAGGAACAGGCGTTGGTGGAGCTGGAGGCAGAGGAATTAGAGTGGGGAAAGTGGCGGTGGGGGAATGGGTGGCTGCAAAACGTGCGAGGGAGGATTGGAAGGTGGTGGGAAATGAGAAGCGGTTTCGTGGTCAGGGACCAGGGTGGTTTGCACCAGGGCAGCAGCTTGGGGCGTCTAAATCAAGCTGTAATGGGAGGGCATGGATGGTGGTATGGGGCGGTGAAGGCACGATGAGACAACACTGCCTGCTTGGCGGCATCACAAGGTTGGTGATATGGGGGAATTATGGGCTCTGCAATTCTTGATACTGTCGATGCCGCATTGCTGAAGTAGGTAGCAGCAGGGGTTTTGTTAGGCTTGGGCATTGACCCGACTCGGGTCGGGTAACCCGACCCGACCCGACCTTTTTGGCAGGTCGGGTCTTTATCTAGCTGAGGACTACCCGGTCGGGTCGGGTAGGGTCTACCCGTGTCGGGTATTGATTACCCGCTACCCGACCCGTGTATTTAGGGCTATGTTGCGGAAGACGCGTCTAGCGTCTTAGACGGTTGCGTCTAGACGCAGCGTCTAAGACGCTAGACGCATTTCAGGCCAGATTAGACGCATATTAGACGAAAACCCGGGCAGGCCTAAAAAAAACGTCCGGGCAGCGAAAAAACCCTCTTATAGGGCGTGGAGAGGGCGGGGAGAAGGACATTGCACACATTTTGGCAAAAAGGGTTGAGGGTTTTTGAAGGAGAATTGAGTTAGCGTGTAAACCCGAGAAATGAGTTGGACTAGATACGAGGAGCACAGATGAGGTGGTTGTGCTCCTATATGCCTTTGGTGGTGGTCCACAAAGACCTTTGAGGTGGCAATTTGGGTTGGGGGTAGGTAACAAAAGTTGGTTGGGGGGGCTGTATTTCATTGTCGAAATGGGTGGGAGGGGGTTCAAATGTTGCGAAATTGAATTTCGCGTCGAAATCGCGAAATTCAATGTCGCGCACGCGATTTTTTTTCGGGCTGCCCGAAAAAAATTGCCACATGCGTCTAGCGTCTAAACGTGCGTCTTGCGTCTAGCGTCTAAACGCTGCGTCTAGACGCTAGACGCAGGACGGTCCCTGCGTCTTCCGCAACTGAGATTTAGGGTCGGGTTTTCGATACCCGACGGGTCGGGTATACCCGACCCGAAAACGGGCCATTCACCAGTTGGTTGCTCGGGTTACACTACCGTACGTGCCGTGCACAGAGTTACAGCCGTAAAACTCGACATTGTTCCAACCAAGACACACCACAGAACAGATCCTATCCATCCATCCATCAAAAACCAACCAACCAACTTTCCGCCAACTCTCGAACCTCCTCGTCACTCGCTCACTCGTAGCTCCTTAGGTTTTCCCAGCACATAGCCCTTCACGACTTAGCAGCAAAGCAACAACTACAAGTGCAAAGTCTCAAGCTTCTTGCCTATTGTTGTGAATAAGACTTTCAAAATAGCTCATCAGAACGTTTTAAGAAACGCATACAATGGCGTTTACGGCTAGGAATTTACATACTTAACCTAAGAGCGCCATCAAAGTGTTTGATTGGCCACTTCTCGCCACCCCACGTCAGCTCCCAGTTTCCAGCACCTTTTACAGCAATGATCGGGGGGTTTCAGTTAGGCTTGTTCCACTGCGCGCATTAGAGCGATACTACAAGAGCATCGGCGAGGCGCTAGCGGCCTCACTACCAAGCTCCGTAGCGCACACTTCAACGCGTGCCCGTGGCGTCATGCTCGGCAGTGCTACGCAGGCGGCCGTCGAGTCAGGAGGGGCGGATGCGGCGGCGGAATCTGGGGGGAACGGCTCTGGGTGGGTAAATATTCCCCTTCAACCGTGGGTTGCGGGGCAACCGCCCGTTGAAAAGGACGGAGAGGATGCATACGTGCCTACAGCAGAGGAGGTGGCAGCTGCAGCAGCGGATTCGGCGGGCGAGAACGAGGTGGAGGTGGGGGTGGAGGTGGATGAGGAGGGGGTCGGGGAAACTAGTGTAGGACGCGGAGCAAGGAGTGCAAGGGGACGAGGCCGGCGAATGGGACGGGCTGGCCGCGTGCAGGGTCGTTCGAGCGAAGGAGCAACCGAAGCTCACGGTTCGAGGCGCACCGGCGGTACCTCGAGAGGTGGACGAGGAGGTGGGAGGGTATCTCGTGTGGCGCAGGGGGGTGGCGACGCTAGAGTGAAGGGTTCAGCCCCAGTAGAGGACGGCCCGTCACGTGCTGACACGCAGCGCAACGATGGGGTTGGGGGCACGCCGTTGCGAGCTGGTGGCACCAGTCGTGGCGGAGGGACGTCGGGTGGAAGGCAGCGTAGGACGAAGCGTCAGAGGGAGGTGACGCCTACGGATCCGGTTGTCGAGGAGTTGGCCGGTAAATCGTACCCGGGGTTACTTGTGGGAATGTTTGGGGATATGGTTGATGATTGCCGTGCGTGTCGTAAATGTGGGGACTTGCTTGCTTGGGGGTCGGGTAACACTAGCGCAGGGTGGAGGCACGTGAAACGGAAACACTACCCTAACGTGCAGATTTGGGTTCGTCGGTTTTTGGATCCTGAGAAGCCAAAGGATCTGCAGTTCCCGCTTGGGGGTTACGGGATGGATGGGAAGGGCCCTGTCGTGCCCGATGGGGATGGAGCGTGGGAACACGCGGCAAGCTGGCCGAACATCCCAGCCACGGCTACGGGTGGAACCGCGGAGGGGGTGGGGGGGGGCACGAGTGGTGGGATTCGTGCTGCCAGCATGTCCTCATACATCACCCCCGGGTGCAGGAGCAGGAGCTGCGCTCTGCCCTGGTGGAGATGTTCGCCGACGCCGATCTGCCATTCCGCCTTGTCGATCGGCCATCAGTGAGTCTTTCTTTCTGTTCGGCTACAGTATCGCATTGTGCATATCATTGACACTAGATGCATGTTGCGTATCCATTCCTCGAGATATACCCGACTCTCCACTCGTAGACCATCCTTGAACAGTGTTTGTCATTCATTCACGTTTCATGGTGGTGCTTCGTCGTTGTCTATTCCATCCCCCAACAGTTCCGTCGATTCGTCAAACTGCTGAACCCTGGGGCCGAGCGGTTGCTAGGGACGCGGTATCGGTTGGCACGGGACATGCAGGCATACGCAGATGCCGCCAGGGAAGAGTTGAAGCAGGAGCTGATTGGTGATGGTCTCGCTGGGCGGCTGTCGCTGAGTACGGACATCTGGACCAGTGAGAACAACCTTGCTTTTATGGTTGTCACCGTTCACAGGATCACTAAAGACTTCCAGCTGCGGCAGCACATCCTGGATTTCGTGCAGCTGGAGGGGTCACACACCGCGTCGCTGATAGCGAAGACTCTTGAGGGCATTCTGGCGGAATGGGGACTGACCGAGATGCTGTTCGCTGTCACAACGGATAATGCTGAGAACAACAACAAGGCCATGCGCATGCTTGCAGGGGATCCAGCTGAGGGTGCGATGGCGAGGATCGAGTTCCCCTTGTTCCACGGAGATCGTCACGTGCGGTAAGTCATTCAACGCGTATCTATGAGGGCATCCTTCGACGGGCAGCATGTGCCGCATTACCATATGACTCCCTTCGACTATAACCGTGTCATTTTCGACCTCCCCTCTACCCTATGCTTGTCTGCCATGTTTGCACAGCTGCATTGCACATGTCATGAACATTGCAGTGCAGGCGGCATTGAAGAAAGATGTGGTGACAGAGGCGCTGAAGCGTCTGCGAGCTGTGTGTTCGTACGTCGGGTGGTCAGTCCAGCGCTCGGAGAACTTCGCACGGCAGCAGCGCATCTTGCAGCGGCGGGATGATGCACCCGTGCTTCGTCTGATTGGCGACTCGCCGACACGATGGGGGTCCACGTATGACATGATCGTTCGCGCGTTGGAGCTGCAGCAGGCACTGGCCTTGCTCCTCATGAGGACAGACGTGAGTGGTGGTGGTAATGAGCGTGGAGTGACTGCAGCGATGGGCTGGTTGGTATGGTGTTTTGATGTCGTGATCGTGGTGAAAGGGCATGGTGGGGGGCTGGTTTGGTGGAGAGTGTGTTGTGACAATAGTGAAGGGTGATGCTTGTGTGTTGAAAGGCTGGGTAACGTATTCGACTATGATTGTTTGGCTAGAATGGCGGCTTAGCACTAATTTTACTTTGTTTTGTTTGCCCGTCCACCAGCCCCCACCCCCCCGCCAGATACGCGAACAGCTGGATGGCCTTCGGCTGTCTGACGTGCACTGGGACGCTCTCGTCGAGCTCAAGGAGTTCCTTGAGCCGTTCAACTCCATCACGAAGGCAGCCGAGGGTTCCTTGTACCCCACGGCTGCCTCAGTCGTGCCGAGCTGCTGGACAAGCTGGAAATCTCCTTCCGCAAAGAGGGTGTCACTCCCCTCCGACAGGCTCTCATCACTGCAGCCCTTGACAAGCTCAAGAAGTACAAGTACAGGGAGAAGGAAGAGCTGGTGGTTGCCACCTTCCTGGACCCCCGCTACAAGACAGTCTTCTTCCAGCTGCCGAAATGGGAGGCGCGCAATGCTGCGCACGTGACAGAGGTGGGGGGGTGTGCTAGGATGGTGCAGGATGTGGATGAGGGGACGGTGATACGGCTGGTGCGTGCGCGTATGGCCGAGTATCAGGCGCGGGTGAGCAGCCGCCGGCAGGGTGGTGAGGTCACGAGCGATATCGGGGGGGCCACTGGGCCTAGCAGCGTGACTGGTGGGGCCTCGGGCACGACGGGGGCTGGTGGAGGTGGGGGAGGGGGCTTTGAGCACTCCATCTTCGACGAGATGGATGCCCTGGAGGCAGCGGCTGGAGGGGGGGCACAGGATGAGGTGGACCGCTATTTGGCCGAGCCGAGGCAGAGAGGTGGTTGTTTGCTGGCTTTCTGGCGAGCGAGGGAGGATTTCACAGTTTTGAGAGAGATGGCGCGAGACTATTTGGCTGTGCCCGCAACTTCTGCTGCTAGCGAGCGAGCCTTTAGTCAGGGGAGGAACATTATTACATGGCAGCGCCACCGCCTTACTGCTGGCCGCGTACGTGCCGTTATGGCAATTAAGTCATGGATGGAGCAGAACACTAGCAGCAGGAGCCTCAACATTGCAGGTGCCGCTCGTGTGCTCGAGGACCTTTGTTATGAGGGTGAGGGTGATGGGTTCTGACTTGTGGTTGGTTGTGACTGTGGGCACGATGTTGCTGTGTACCCTGGGGTGTGGGTGTGGCTATTCTGACTGTAGAGGACGCCTTAGACCACACGTTGTAGGTGGTTGAACTTTAACATATTTATTGTTACGACATACGGTACAATAATTTATGATAGCATGTGACAGCGATAGGATAGTGCAACTCTATTATAACCAACTCTGTGGCAATGTATTCGTGCGAGCGCACGAGTTTGCAAAGAAAGATGTGACACTTCATCTATTCCACAGAAAACTGCAAGCTAATATTATATAGGCCCAAAAACAGCAACAAAATTCCTCAGAATGTATATAGGATTTACATGCTTAAATGGTATACCCGACCCGTCCTCGGGTATACTCTACCCGACCTCGGGTAGTTACTACCCGTGGGTTACTAGACGGGTCGGGTACCCAATCTGACCCATCAAACCCGAGGTCGGGTATACCCGACCCGACCCGACTACACCCTCGGGTACCCCCAAACGGGTCGGGTCGGGTCGGGTCAATGCCCAAGCCTAGGTTTTGTGATAGCACTTGTTGAAAGAGCAGCACGTGCACTGGTGCGTGGGAGCAGGTGCAGCAAGGGGGGGGGAGGGGCGGATGAGGCATGAGTGGGAAGGCTGGCTGGCAGACAGGACGCTGTTTGTGGCCTTCCAGTCAATAGAAAAGCTTACTATATACGGTAGCTGTTTTATCTCAAAATCACCAAATCACATTCAGAATGACATTGTTGTACGGTAGTTTTCAAGGTCTTCAATGTGACAGCCCAGAAAGACACGTTTACACGCTCGCTCAACAATCCTCGGAACAGCTCAGCCTTGGATTCCTATAATGCTTGGTGGAATGAGAAACATGATCTTTCAAAATGATGACATTGTTGGATCTAATGCCTAAACACAAACTCTTCTAACCAGACACAACCCAAGCTTGATAGCTTGACTTGACGGTCAGGAGGAGCTTGGACGAAGCAGCACTGCTGGCGGCACTCCGTTGGAAGTGCTGCTGCGGCCATGCGCCTCTGAGGATGGCATCTGTGGTGCAGCCATGCTTCTGGAGAACACTACTCAGGGTGTGCCATTTGGGGTGTGTATATTCTCATACCTGCCCCTGCCCAGGGGATGAGGCTACTGTGGTCCGCCCATACTGCCCCCCAGGCCCTCCCAACCCTCCGCCCATCCCTCCGCCCATCCCACCACCCATCCCTCCGCCCATCCCACCACCCATCCCTCCGCCCATCCCACCACCCATCCCTCCGCCCATCCCCCCACCCATCCCTCCGCCCATCCCTCCGCCCATCCCTCCGCCCATCCCCCCGCCCATCCCTCCGCCCATCCCTCCGCCCATCCCAGGTCCACCCTGGCCGGGTGCTGCCTGCGACCCTGGAGCAAACCACCCTGACCCGCCCATGCTTCCGCCGCCCATGCCTCCGCCGCCCATTCCGCCGCCCATGCCTCCGCCGCCCATGCCTCCGCCGCCCATGCCTCCGCCGCCCATGCCTCCGCCGCCCATGCCTCCGCCACCCATACCGCCGCCGCCCATTCCTCCCCCGCGGCCCATGCCTCCGCCAATGTTCCCCCCAGGACCCATGGCTGACTGTGATCCGGGAGCAGAGGATCCAGGTCCGCCCGTGCCTCCCATTCCTCCGCCGCCCATTCCGCCACCGCCCATGCCGCCACTCCCGCCCATGCCGTCGCCGCCACCCATTCCACCGCCCATGCGGCCGCCGCCCATTCGGCCGCCACCTATGTTCCCCCCAGGACCCATGGCTGATTGCGATCCGGGAGCAGAGGAACCAGGTCCTCCCATACCCCCTCCAACTCCGCCGTCGCCCATTCCACCGCCGCCCATGCTCCCTCCGCCCACTCCGCCGCCGCCCATTCCTCCGCCGCCCATTCCGCCGCCGCCCATTCCGCCGCCACTCATGCCACCGCCGCCCATTCCGCCGCCACCCATGCCGCCTCCGCCCATTCCGCCGCCCCCCATGCTTCCGCCGCCTATTCCGCCACCGCCCATTCCGCCGCCACCCATTCCGCCACCGCCCATTCCGCCGCCGCCCATCCCTCCTCCGCCCATTCCGCCGCCGCCCATTCCACCGCCCACCATGCCGCCTCCGCCCATTCCGCCGCCTCCCATGCTGCCGCCGCCCATTCCGCCTCCGCCCATTCCCCCGCCACCCATTCCGCCACCGCCCATTCCGCCGCCGCCCATTCCTCCGCCGTCAATTCCGCCGCCACCCATTCCGCCGCCGCCCATTATGCCGCCGCTGATCCCGCCGCCGCCCATTATGCCGCCGCTGATCCCGCCGCCGCCCATTCCGCCTCCGCCCGTTCCGCCTCCGCTCGTTCCGCCGCTCTGCTGTTGCTGCTGGCCGGTCGAGCGCCCGCCTTGCGCCCATCCGCGCATCATCCCGCGCAGCTTGTCCGCGCGGAGCCCTGCGGAGAAGCGGAAGGCCATCGCCGTATCGAGAGACGAGAGCAGGACGAGCGAGAGGAGGAGAAGGGCCGTGCTCAGGTCACGGGAACGACGCTTGCTCGACGAATACGATACTCTCTGCGTCATTGTGCTTTTGCACTGCCTAGGATGCAGCTAATATTCTCACGGAGAAACAAATCTAGCTGTTCAGGAGCAATCTAGCTTCCAAGGGGCTTGGAAGTGAAGACACGGAAACCTACGAGTTCTAAATGAGGCTCAGTGAATCGAAGTGAAGACTGAATGAATGAGTTTCGGAATGCCGCATGCAATTTGTACCGCTCATCGCGTCGCCACCGTTGGACAATATTTTTGCGCGGCGCGAGGACTCAAACTGTAAGCAATGGACCAATGAGCAAACAGAGGCTGTCGGCGAGTCAAACACATGAAATTCCAGTCAATGTCTCTCAAAAAATGTTGACCACTGTAGCTTCACTCCACCCACCTTCAACGAAATTTGAAGAAATTCGAATCCCGTTTTGAATATGACCCGATATAGGATTAACCTAACCGTACATCAAACATCAATTTCAGACTCTGGTTATCTGTACAGCCTGAGAGAACCTAACCGTGTGTTTTGTTATTCGCACCAGTAACAAGGTGTCCTTCCACAATAACTCCCGTATTGACAATCTGGTGAGCTCACCCCAAGGGCGCCACGTAAGATGACGCGATCCGCGGCTTGCTCTACCAAGCTGACGTGGCAAGATGCCAAAGTCGCTCCACGGCAGGGCAGGGGGGCTCAGAAACTAGGCGCGAACGCAGAGGAATTCCGCGAGAGCGATTCCGTTTTGATTCGACGTCGCGCAGCAACTCTGCTGCGTGCCCCATCGCGTCATGCGCTAACAATACGCGGCGGAGAAGGGAGAGGAAAGAGGATGGGATGATGGTTTAGAGCGCACGCGCAGCAAGCCACGAGGCTCTGGGATGGGCGATCTCCAATGTCTTTCGTCGCATCGTAGCCGTCCACAGCCGTCCACAGCCGTCCACAGCCGTACACCTCGAGGTCATCCACCTCGTCGGTCGATCTTTCGCCAAGACTTCTGGTCGCAGCGCTTCTGGACGCGCGGTAAGCCTCAGAAGATCTCCTCTCTCTCGTCGCATCGAAGCGCACACCTCGAGTCCATCCATCCACCCTCCCATGTCGTGCCGCTGCCTTGCTCCTTGCTGCGACTCGCAAACTTGCGACTCGCATTGCGTGCAGTCTCGTTTCTTAGCTCGGCGATGGCGGCAGAGGGACAACAGCGAGACTTGAGCTCCGCCATGCGCAGCTCCGCCGCTCCGCTATCCGCAGCTCCGCCACGCGCAGCTGCGCCACGCGCAGCTCTTCAGCGTGCTGCCACCCATGACCCGCGATTGCTGCCATGCTCGCCGTGCGTGCCTCTTCCCCTGCATGTCGCCACATGTCCCCCGCGCTGCCCCGCCCTGCCCCCCACCTGGGCCCCCTTGCCCCCCCCTGCCCTCATTACTATGCCACGTTCGCCTAGTCGCCGTCTCTGCGTCACTCCATACCTCCGCGTCTCACACCCTCGCACTTCTTCAGCCGTCCCCATGCCGAGCCCTAACCCCCCTAACCACCCTACCCGTCTTCCCGCTTTCCCAGTCGCCCCAGGCACTCCCAGCCTTCCCACCCCCACCCTCACAAGCTCAGATGTGCCATGCGGCAGGAGAGAGATCCAGTGTGTTGCAGCGTATGTTTTATGAGAATTCTCAAAAAACATCACAAGCTCAGATGCGCCATGCGGCAGGAGAGATCCAGTGTGGGTTGCTCTAGTCTTTGTCCGCTCACTCGCTTTGTTTGAGGTTGATTTTGAGAATTCTCAAAAGCAACCTCAAACAAAGCAGGAGAGATCCACTGAACAAGCCAATCCACTGCCCGCCCCGCCGATTCACTGCCGTGTCAATCCCTCCCATCCCTCCACCCTCCCACGCTCCCAGCCTTCCCACCACTCACACCACTCCGGCACCTCGTGGTTCTGCCAGCACTCACCGCCTATTTCCCCTCTGCTCTTACCCCCTCTGCTCTTACTACCTGTGTCCTCCAAGCTCCGTGTTCCCCGGCTGCTCATCCGTCCCTCTCTCCTGGTTCTTCCCTCCCCATCACCGTGTGCCTCGAATGGCAGGAGTGGCACGACTGGCTGTGGCGCGGGCAGGGCTGCTGCTAGCAGCGGTTCATGCTGCTGTGACTGTATTGAGGCTGCTGTGACTGTATCGAGGCCGCTGTGACTGTATCGAGGCTGCTGTGACTGTATCGAGGCCGCTGTGACTGTATCGAGGCTGCTGTGACTGTATCGAGGCTGCTGTGACTGCATCGAGGCTGCTGTGACTGCATCGAGGCTGCTGTGACTGTATCGAGGGTGCTGCTGAAGCATGGTCCGCCTGACAGCAGCGACGTCGCCCAGCTCCATACGCTGTGAGTGCGCAGGCAGGCTGCTGCTAGCAGCAGTGGTCCACACGCTTACTTTCTCACAACCACTGTGTGTACACTGCATGGCTTGGCTTGCTGAAATGGCACCCCAAGAGTGGAGTGGAGTGGATTGGTTGCTTGGCTTGCTGCGCTGGACATTCATTTCTGCTTGCTTGGCTTGGCCATTGAGTTCTCACCCACACTGTCACTCTATAAAAAAAGCCTGAATTTAGTGGCCCCCTGCCAGTAAGAGACTCCCACGCATTTATCAGCAAGCAATCACATTCATCCCCCCTTTTCCCTTTCCCCTTTGCCATTTCCCTCACTACCTCAATCCCTTTCCCCTTTCCCCCTTCGCTCCCCTTTTTCCCGTTTCCTCTTCCCGCCTTCCGCCTTCCGCTTTCCGCCTTCCCCGTTCCCCCTTCCTTTTTGCCCTCCCCATCCCTCCTCCCCCTTTCCACCTTTCCTCCTCCCTCGTCTCCCTTCCCCTTTCTCCGTGCCCTTTTTCCTCCCCATTGCCCTTTTTCCTCCCCATTGCCCTTTTTCCTCCCCATTTCCCTTTTTCCTCCCCATTCCCTTTTTCCTCCCCATTTCCCTTTTTCCTCCCCATTGCCCTTTTTCCTCCCCATTGCCCTTTTTCCTCCCCATTACCCTTTTTCCTCCCCATTTCCCTTTTTCCTCCCCATTTCCCTTTTTCCTCCCCATTTCCCTTTTTCCTCCCCATTGCCCTTTTTCCTCCCCATTGCCCTTTTTCCTCCCCATTACCCTTTTTCCTCCCCATTTCCCTTTTTCCTCCCCATTTCCCTTTTTCCTCCCCATTTCCCTTTTTCCTCCCCATTGCCCTTTTTCCTCCCCATTGCCCTTTTTCCTCCCCATTGCCCTTTTTCCTCCCCATTTCCCTTTTTCCTCCCCATTTCCCTTTTTCCTCCCCATTTCCCTTTTTCCTCCCCATTGCCCTTTTTCCTCCCCATTGCCCTTTTTCCTCCCCATTACCCTTTTTCCTCCCCATTTCCCTTTTTCCTCCCCATTTCCCTTTTTCCTCCCCATTGCCCTTTTTCCTCCCCATTGCCCTTTTTCCTCCCCATTACCCTTTTTCCTCCCCATTTCCCTTTTTCCTCCCCATTTCCCTTTTTCCTCCCCATTTCCCTTTTTCCTCCCCATTGCCCTTTTTCCTCCCCATTGCCCTTTTTCCTCCCCATTGCCCTTTTTCCTCCCCATTTCCCTTTTTCCTCCCCATTTCCCTTTTTCCTCCCCATTGCCCTTTTTCCTCCCCATTTCCCTTTTTCCTCCCCATTGCCCTTTTTCCTCCCCATTGCCCTTTTTCCTCCCCATTACCCTTTTTCCTCCCCATTTCCCTTTTTCCTCCCCATTTCCCTTTTTCTTCCCCATTGCCCTTTTTCCTCCCCATTGCCCTTTTTCCTCCCCATCACCCTTTTTCCTCCCCATTTTCCTTTTTCCTCCCCATTTCCCTTTTTCCTCCCCATTTCCCTTTTTCCTCCCCATTGCCCTTTTTCCTCCCCATTGCCCTTTTTCCTCCCCATTTCCCTTTTTCCTCCCCAATTCCCTTTTTCCTCCCCATTGCCCTTTTTCCTCCCCATTGCCTTTTTTCCTCCCCATTGCCTTTTTTCCTCCCCATTTCCCTTTTTCCTCCCCATTTCCCTTTTTCCTCCCCATTTCCCTTTTTCCTCCCCATTTCCCTTTTTCCTCCCAATTTCCCTTTTTCCTCCCCATTTCCCTTTTTCCTCCCCATTTCCCTTTTTCCTCCCCATTTCCCTTTTTCCTCCCCATTTCCCTTTTTCCTCCCCATTTCCCTTTTTCCTCCCCATTTCCCTTTTTCCTCCCCATGGCCCTTTTTCCTCCCCATTGCCCTTTTTCCTCCCCATTGCCCTTTTTCCTCCCCATTGCCCTTTTTCCTCCCCATTGCCCTTTTTCCTCCCCATTGCCCTTTTTCCTCCCCATTGCCCTTTTTCCTCCCCATTGCCTTTTTTCCTCCCCATTGCCTTTTTTCCTCCCCATTTCCCTTTTTCCTCCCCATTTCCCTTTTTCCTCCCCATTTCCCTTTTTCCTCCCCATTTCCCTTTTTCCTCCCCATTTCCCTTTTTCCTCCCCATTTCCCTTTTTCCTCCCCATTTCCCTTTTTCCTCCCCATTTCCCTTTTTCCTCCCCATTTCCCTTTTTCCTTTCTTCTCCTCCCACTTCCCTCTGCCCCTTCCCTTCGTGCCTTTTCCCCTCCGGATTGTTCCTCCCCTTCCCCCTAAACCCTATATGCGCACACCTGCAGGATTCCGGCACACAGCTAGCCATGGGATGGGCCTCACATGCGACTCACCTCCCTGCACCGAATCCCACCCTCTGGCATCTCAATCTGTTCCCCTTCCCCCTTTCCCATTCTCCCCACCTGCAGGATTCCGGCACACAGCTGGCCATGGGACTCACATGGAACTAGCGGCCCTGCACGATGAGTGAGGGGGGAAGGGTGGGGGGACTGGGGAGGGCGGAGGGGAGGATTGGGCGTGCAGGGCGTGGTGGCGAATGATGTGTTCACAATGATAACAATGATGTGTTCACAATGATAACAATGATGTGTTCACAATGATAACAATGATGTGTTCACAATGATAACAATGATGTGTTCACAATGATAACAATGATGTGTTCACAATGATAACAATGATGTGTTCACAATGATAACAATGATGTGTTCACAATCATAACAATGATGTGTTCACAATGATAACAATGAAGTGTTCACAATGATAACAATGATGTGTTCACAATGATAACAATGATGTGTTCACAATGATAACAAAGATGTGTTCACAATGATAACAATGATGTGTTCACAATGATAACAATGATGTGTTCACAATGATAACAATGATGTGTTCAAAATGATAACAATGATGTGTTCACAATGATAACAATGATGTGTTCACAATGATAACAATGATGTGTTCACAATGACAACAATGATGTGTTCACAATGACAACAATGATGTGTTCACAATGATAACAATGATGTGTTCACAATGATAACAATGATGTGTTCACAATGATAACAATGATGTGTTCACAATGATAACAATGATGTGTTCACAATGATAACAATGATGTGTTCAAAATGATAACAATGATGTGTTCACAATGATAACAATGATGTCTTCACAATGATAACAATGATGTGTTCACAATGACAACAATGATGTGTTCACAATCATAACAATGATGTGTTCACAATGATAACAATGAAGTGTTCACAATGATAACAATGATGTCTTCACAATGATAACAATGATGTGTTCACAATGACAACAATGATGTGTTCACAATGACAACAATGATGTGTTCACAATCATAACAATGATGTGTTCACAATGATAACAATGAAGTGTTCACAATGATAACAATGATGTGTTCACAATGATAACAATGATGTGTTCACAATGATAACAATGATGTGTTCACAATGATAACAATGATGTGTTCACAATGATAACAATGATGTGTTCACAATGATAACAATGATGTGTTCACAATGATAACAATGATGTGTTCACAATGATAACAATGATGTGTTCACAATCATAACAATGATGTGTTCACAATCATAACAATGATGTGCTCCATCCCACGCAATGATGTGCTCCATCCCACACAATGACCACCGTATCTGTCTCTCATGGCTCATCTCTCATGGCTCATCTCTCATGCATGTGCATGCAGGGCGTGGTGGCGAAGGATGTGTTCACGGTGTCGTACCATGAGGGGGCATTGGATGATGAGATGACCACGGGGAGATGAAACTAGCATGGTGAGATGAAACGAGCATGGTGAGATGAAATGAGCACGGTGAGATGAAACGAGCATGGTGAGATGAAACGAGCGCGGTGAGATGAAACGAGCGCGGTGAGATGAAACTAGCGCGGTGAGATGAAACGAGCACGGTGAGATGAAACGAGCACGGTGAGATGAAACGAGCATGGTGAGATGAAACGAACACGGTTTGGAGAAACCAGCGCGGTGAGATGAATGCGTCGCGGTGAGATGAAACGAGTATGTTGAGATGAAGCAACCACGATCAGATGCTTGTGTTGTGTCCCTGTCCACCACTGTCCACCACTGTCCACCCCTGTCCCTGTCCACCCCTGTCCCTTTGTTTGCAAACGTTGTTCATGCCACCTGTTCCTTCGGCTCTACTGCGTCTGATCACCAATTCCCTCATGCATTCATTTCTGCTTGCTTGGCTTGGCCATTGAGTTCGCACCCACGCTGTTACTCTATAAAAAAACCTGAATCTAATAAGCCTGAATCTTCTATAAAAAAAAGCCTGAATCTTCTATAAAAAAAGCCTGAATCTAATAAGCCTGAATCTTCTAAAAAAAAAGCCTAAATCTTCTATAAAAAAAGCCTGAATCTTCTATAAAAAAATCCTGAATCTAATAAGCCTGAATCTTCTATAAAAAAAGCCTGAATCTTCTATAAAAAAAGCCTGAATCTAATGGCCCCGTGCCAGTCAGAGACTCCCACGCACTTATCGACAAGCAATCACATTCATCCCCCCTTTTCCCTTTCCCCTTCGCCATTGCCCTCTCCACCTCATCCCCTTTCCCCTTTTCCCCTTCTCTCCCCCGTTTCCTGTTCCCTCTTCCCGCTTCCGCCTTCCACTCTCCGCCTCCCCTGATTCCCCTTCCTTTTCCCCTCCCCATCCCTCCTCCCCCATTCTACCTTTCCCCCTCGTCTCCCTTCCCCTTTCTCCGTTTCCCTCCTCATTCCTCCTCCCCATTTCCCTTTTCCTGTCCTCCTCTCCTCCCACTGCCCCCTGCCCCCCTCCCGCTGCCCTTTCCTCCGGATTGTTCCTCCCTTTCCCCTTGAACCCTGCTTTTGCTCCTTCCCCCTTCCCCCTTCCCCTTTCCCCCTTCGCCTTTCCCCCTTCCCCCTTCCCCCTTCCCCCTTCCCCTTTCCCCCTTCCCCTTTCCCCCTTCCCCCTTCCCCCTTCCCCCTTCCCCTTCCGCCTTCCCCCCTTCCCCTTTCCCGAGCTCACCTGCAGGAGTCAGGCACGCACCTTGCCATGGGATGGGCCTCACATGCGACTCACCTCTTTGCACCGAACCCCACCGTCCTGCACCTCAATCTGTTTCCCCTTACCCCTTTCCCATTCTTCCCACCTGCAGGAGTCCGGCACGCAGCTGGCCATGGGCCTCACATGCGACTCGCCACCATGCACTGTGAGTGAGGGGGGGAGGGTGGGGAGCATGTGGGGGAGGGTGGGGAGGATGTGGGGAGGGCGGAGAGGATGGGGGGGAGGGCGGAGAGGATGGGGGGGAGGGCGGAGAGGATGGGGGGGAGGGCGGAGAGGATGGGGGGGAGGGCGGAGAGGATGGGGGGGAGGGCGGAGAGGATGGGGGGGAGGGCGGAGAGGATGGGGGGGAGGGCGGAGAGGATGGGGGGAGGGCGGAGAGGATGGGGGGAGGGCGGAGAGGATGGGGAGGGCGGAGAGGATGGGGCGGGCGGAGAGGAGGATTGGGAGGGCGGTGTGGAGGATGGGGGAGGACGTGTCATGGCAATCACATGAGGCTGCATGAGAGGGCGGGGAATGGTGGGAGATGGAGGAATGGTAGGAGGGAGGTGGCAATCACATGAGCCGGCCGAGCAGCTCATGTTTTTGGTATCTCCATGCATGTGTGCGCAGCAGTGATTCCTTCCATCCATTCTTCTCCGTGCACCTTGCCATTCTTCCCCTCGCTGCCTCCCTGGAATTGGGTCAGCAGAGGGCTGCACGGGGGTGGCGTGTGCCGTCAGCAGAGGGTGGCAGTGGGGTGGCGTGTGACGCTGGTTCAGATGCGTTCTGAATCCTGAGGTGAGCACGCTGTGCTGTCAGTGTTTATTTGTGCATGCTCGCTCATTGTGTTGCAGCATGTGCTGGCAAAGGCTGTGTGTCCGCGAGTGCAGCGTGTGCTGGCAAAGGCTGAGTGTTTCTCTTCTTTCGCCCTCCCAGTCTTCCCCCTCACCCACCCATGCCATTCCTCTCTCGATCTTCTCTGCCCTCTCTCCCACTCCCTCCCCGCCTCTCCCTGGCCCCTCTCAGCTCACACTTAACGCCCTCAGCTACACTCTCTCGCGGCCAGACATTGAAGCAGAGGAGAGCTACTAGCGTCACGAGGCACCTTATAACGAGGCCGAGAGCTTCCAGTCTCTGAAGACACCTTATAGCGAGGCCGAGGGCTTTTACTGTTTTGATGCACCTTGTAACGAGGCAGAGAGCTACAAGGTAGCAGCAGCAGCGCCAGGCACATGACAGGGCTGTGCATGTTTTTGGTGCTCTTCTGTGATTGAGACTTGACCCCCGCTTGTCTTCCTCACAGCTGTACAGGCTGTTTTGCATCCATTCATACTACGGTATATCCACTCATCCCTTTTAAACCCATTCTTGTCTATAAAATGGGCCCATACAATTTTCAATCACAAAAGCATTCCTCAGGGGTTATGTTACAGTGCCATACCTTCAACTCACAACTCTAAAGATGATTTGAACAATGTTTTCCGAGTCCCAGATCAACCCGTACATGACCTACACGTACGCACTCTTGCATAATTGTAATTTAATGTATGCAAAATAGCTGCTGGATCTACCAATAGTCTTGGTACGACTGGAGTCCAAACCTCTCTTGAAGGTTGTAAGGCACGTTGCAGCCAAAGAGATTCAGCACTCGCAGCATCGTCAAGTCACACAGCTGTTGCGGCAGGGACTGAAGCAGCTCACAGCCACTCAGATCCAGCTCTCTGAGTCGTGCCAAATGGTGGAAGTTGGGAGGGAGCAAGTGAAGAGCCGTCTTCCTGGCATCCAGCTTGTGCAGGTGAGTGAGGCTGGTGAAAGAACTGGGCAGGCTTGTCAAGGAGGAGCAATTACGCAGGCTAAGGTTGCCTAACCTTGACAAGGAGGAAATGGTCTCCGGAAGATGGGTCAGGCATGGAGCTTCAATATGAAGAGAGGTGAGTTGCACCAGCCGGGTTACACTTTCTGGAATCTCCGTCAGAGATTCTGCTCCTATTAAGTGCAGCTGTCGCAGCTGAGGCAGAGCAGAGCTGATGTCATGAGGCAGGTGATGCAAGGACACGGCATTTGAGATGTGTAGATCACGGAGGCATGAAAGGAAACCGAGCGGGAGTGGGAGCTCTGTTTGTTCAGCGCCCAGGCGCATCTCCAGGTGCTCTATCTGAGACGGACCACGGCTGGTCGCTGGTGCGTCCATGATGGTAACCCGAATCAATTTCAGCTTCTTGAGATTTGGAATCGTTGACAAATCTGGAAGAATGATGCTGCTGGTGTCGTATCCCAAGCTCAATGTTTCCAGAGACTGTGGCAAAGATTCCAAAGTTTCCTGCAAAAGTTCACATCCCGTCAGATCCAGCTCCCGCAGGCATGAGAGGTTTTCCAAGGCTCGAGGTGTAGACGCGAGCTTGATACACATGCAGGCCTTGAAAGTCTTCAGGCGGCTCAGTTGAGTGATGGATGCTGGCAGAGCTGTCAGCTCATCGCAGCAGCTCAAGGTCAACTCCCGCAGGTCACCAAGATGGCCTGTACCCTCTGGAAGGTTAACAACGGGACAGCTGCTGATTTCGAGCCGCGTTAGAGAAGAGAGGCGACTGAACGACGCCGGCAGCTGCTGCAGTTCTTCACAACCGCTCAGCACCAAATCGCGGAGATTGGTCAGCTCGCCTATCTCCTCCGGAAGTGTCGTCAACCTTGATCCCGTGATGCTCAACGATTCAAGAGCAGCCAAGCAGGAAATCGTTGTGGGGAGGGTGTCTATGTCCACATGGTCCAAGGATAGTTTCTGAAGCCCTGTGAGCAACCCAGTAGAATCGGGGAGTCTATTCAACGACAATCTGTTCAACGCTAATGACTTCAGCCCTGGAAAATCTCCAAAATTCTCGGGCAGGTTGGATATTTTGAAGTTAAGAATGGTTAGAACTTCCAAGGTGCTGAGGCTTGTGAGGGAATCTGGTACCAGGAACTCAGCAGAATAAAGGCTACCGAAAAGGCAGAGTTCGCGAAGTACTGGGAACCGTTCTCCAAGCCCCTCAGGCGGGATGCTCGGAACATAGCTTAGCAGCAGACGTTGAAGACGGAAACACGGTGATTCTGGCGGAAACATTGCAGGGAAGTCCGTTGTTCCCCGCACGAATCCCAGCAAACGAAGATTTGTCAGTTCACCAAATGAGAAATCCCCCTCGAAACTGTCGGAGTATATCTCTCCTGGGAAGAACAGGCTGGTCAGATTCGGAAGGCGGGTTAACGGCGACATCTGATGCAACCGCATGTTCAGCTTTTGAATAGACAGCTTCGTGAGAGAAGAGAGATTCGCGAAGTTCGAATCCACCAAAGGCGAGACATCTCCGAGTGACAGCGTGTGCAGGCGCGTCAACAGGAAGAACGAAGGCGGAAGCTTTGTGGTCCGATGGAGGCACTGGAGTGACAGCTGCTCCAAGCGGCGACAATGGCGGAAGAGAATGTCCAGCCCAGCTGTCGTGACTGGGTGACCTGATTTGCCAAACTCGTCCATCTCCTCCTCCTGTTTTTGGTAACGGCTGTCGTATGGAGCAATTCCTGTGCCAACATGAAGAGCCGTTAGGTTTGGTGACGAGGAGCCGAGAATTGCTAGGAAAGTGTCGTCTATCGTTTCCATGCCTCCGTTGCTCAAGTGCAGGCGAGTGAGATTCGGGAAGGACACGAGAACGCGTTTGAGATACTCGCGAGGCACCAGACGATTTCGTGAAACGAGCAGCGTTGTGACGGATTCGTGTGCGAGCTCACGCCAGCGACGGCAGACTGAGGCAATGAGGAGAACGTGAGCGACATCGGCAGAGGCAGGAGGCGTTGAAAAATGCGGGTCAGGCTCTGAATCTTCGTTCTCCTTCCTAATAGCATAATCCGAGAGAGACAATGACGAGGTCGGCCGGAAAGCGTCGGAATGCCAGAAGGTCCTGACAAGAACATGGTCAGGAAGGCAATGGATATTTGGAGACATTCTCCTAAGAGGGACGAGGTAAAGGTCTGGCTTGTGCTACGACTGATTGACAACCACGACTAAGCTTGGGAAGGGGTGTCCCTGGAGAGGAACTTGATCAGAGAGAGAAATAAAGATGAGATCAGACTGAGCCTCTTGAGCTTCCTGCTGTTGGTGTCATGCCTGTCAGTTTTACGACAATTCCATACGAAGCTCAAGAGTCCATACGAACCTCAAATTTTGAATGATCCTATTGGTCGCGAGCAAAGCGCGGTAACCCTATCAAACAAGCCATCGGGGGTGGGGTGGAGCCAACCAAGCAAACGAACTCGCAGTCTGTAGCGAGATTCGGAGGAGGCTACTGATTGGCGCTGCACGTGGTCATTCCCACCTGGACACCAACTTCGATGTCAATGCCGCCACTCTGGCTGGGCAGCAATGTTTCGCTGTTGTGGCTGGAATCCGCGTCTGCCCGCTGATATCTTCTCGCAAGAAGATGATGACCACTGTAGCTTCTCTCCATACAAAATCTGAAATATAAAAAAACCCGAATCCTCGATTACACCCGATCCGATATTGCGTGTCGGGGTGCACAGTCTGGTTATCGTGACTAAACCTTTTCGTGGATTTTGCTGCACAGTTGCGAATTGGAACAACTCCACAATCGCAACCGCAACCAGCTAGGTCCTGGCAATGGCAGGGGGAGCTGCGAGACATGTCGCGGTTCGCGAACCGCAACGTGCTCAACCAAGCTGATGTGGTTGCGAGAGATATTGCGAAATGCTAAGATCGCTCGACGGCAGGGAAGATGGGAGAGAGGTTGGGGAATGGTGCGGTACGGGGAGGGAGCTTTAGAGCGCACGCACGGGAAGACTTAGAGGGTTTTGATTTTCTCTCGTCGCATCGAAGCGCAGTTCAATCCGTTCACCCTCGCATAGAGCCGTTCCGCTGACGCGCTTGTCGCTGCGACTCGCATTGGATGCAATCGAGACCCGCGCTGCGTACCCTTCCCAGCTCCGCCATGCGCAGCTCCGCCACGCGCAGCCCCGCCACGCGCAGCTATTCAGCGTGCTGTCACCTGCGACCCGCGATTGTCGCCTTGCTTGCCGTGCCCGCCTCCTTGCCCTGCGTGTCGGCGCATGTCTCCTGCCCTTTCCCTGACTCCGTCCCCATGCCAAGCCCTAACCGCCGTACCCAACCTACCCAACCTAACCTCCTCCCACTTTCTCAATCGCCTAAAATCATGAAGTAATTCCGCTCAGTAGCTGATTATGAGACATCTAATAATAGGTGTTCTTTTTGCTCAGTAACACTTCAGACTCCTCTTTCTGCGACATGCCATATTGCCCCGCTCATCGTCATGTCAGTCGCCGATCCGTTCCTGCACAATCATTCCCCAGCCTCATCCACCGCCGTGTGGGTGTTCCCACCCTCCAACCCTTCCTCCCACCCTCCCACCCTGCCAGCCTGCCAGCCTGCCACCCTCCCACCCTTTCACCGATCATCATTCTTCCGCCTCGTGCGTTCCTCCAGCACTCACCGCCTCCGCTCCTCCTCCTCTCTTTCCGCCTGCTGCTATCTGCTGCTGCTCCAAGCTCCAAGCTCCCCGGCTGATAGTCCCTCCTCATTTTTCCCAGCTGATGCGGTATGCCTTGAGTGACTGTGGCGGGGGCAGCGCTGCTGCTCGCAGTGAGTCTTGCTGCTGTGACTGTAGGCTGCTGCTACTGCTGAGAGTTGGTCCCATGACGTCATCTGCTGGCAGGTATATGACTGATTTCAATCAGGAGTGGCTGTGGCGGGGGCAGCGCTGCTGCTCGCAGTGGGTCTTGCTCTTATGACTGTAGGCTGCTGCTACTGCTGAGAGTTGGTCCCATGACGTCATCTGCTGGCAGGTACGTGGCTGATATCAATCAGTCCACTCCGATGCTTGATAGTGCAGCTGTTAAGGCTATTCTATTCCTAATGTCTGGGCTTAGCGTTTCTGATTGTCATGTGATGGTTGTGAGCTATGCTGCTGCTTAGTGCCCACGGGCAAAGCTGTATTTTGAGGCGCCTCAAAATATACCTTAGTGCCCACGGGCATAGCTCAGCTCACAACACCCATCACCGTTCGTTCTCTTGCTTGTTCTCACACCCCATCTCTCACCCCTGCTCTCATTTGTGTTCCCTGTATCATACCGTGCAGGACCACTGGATGAGGAGATGAGATGAGCACGCGAGATGAAGCAAGCAAGCACGGTCACACGCTTGTGTTCTGTCCCCACTCCCCACTTCCACCCACATCCCTTCTTTTGCGGAGCTGCGCACCTCAGTCTGTTGTCTGTGTGTTGTTCGCATCACCTGTCCCTTATGCTCCGGTGCTGGCTGTGTCACTCAATCTTTGGGGCACCACTGCTGCCCGCCCATCATCAGTAATCGCCCCCCTGTTCCACTCAATTCCATCATCAGTAAACACCCCCCTGTTCCCCTCAATTCCATCATCAGTAAACACCCCCCTGTTCCACTCAATCTCATCATCAGTAAACACCCCCCTGTTCTGACACCCTATCGTTCGCCCATCATGAGAGAACGCCAGTGATTCCCCTCTTCATCTTGCCTCCCATCCCTGCTCCACCTCGCGCCCCTCTCAACCGCTTCCAACTACTTCTGCGTTCCCCTTTCTCCTGGCTGACGCCTAGTGCGCTCAAGCTCAATCCCCCTCGTTCTGTATCTCCGCCTCTTGCTTTACCCTCTCCGTCCCCACTCCCCTTCACCTTGTCATCCTGGCTTCTAGCTCACTCTCACCGCCCTAATCTAAACAACTCTGAAATTTGTGAAGGCGCATGTAGAAGTAAGCCTCTTTCGCCTTCCAATCTTCAACCCCGCCCACCAATTTCGTGTCCCTCTCTATCTCTCATATATGCTCCCTCCCTCCCTCCTCTCCCTCCCTTACCCCTCCTCCCCTCTCCCCCCCTCTCCCTTGCACTCAACGCCCTCAATTACACTCTATCGCTGCCAAAAATCGAAGCAGAGGAGAGCTACTAGTCTCTTGATGCACCTTATAACGAGTAAGAGAGCTACTAGTAGATACCAACAGCAGCCCTGCACACATGACAGGGCTGGGCATTCCACTGCTCTCCTGCTCTGCTGCTGCTACTCCGGCTAGGATTCCTCACTACTGAACAGCTTGTGTTATGCATCCATCCATCCATCCATCTCTATTTAACTCGGAGCATGATTGGTTGAAGCCACCTCCATGAGCATTGAGCATACACACTACCTCCAGGTGAGTATTTTAAACTATAGTGCGATATTTTGTGTGCAATTCCAGCACATGCGTGTTCCATGTAGTAACCAGATTAGGCTCTCTTGTTATGAGAGCGCAACGAGGATGACACACAAAGGAGAAGAATGTACTCAATCCAATAACATAACAAACTACGGTACACAAAGAGCCATCTCGTGCACCCTACACATAGGGTACACCCACAGCTGATGCTACAAGCTTGGGCGAAGCAGCACTACACTGATGCATCAGTGCCCGTGCACCAGTGAGCGTGCTGCTGCACCCAAGCTCTGGCAATGAAACGAAACATGAAACCCCTAACGCCTCTTGTGGCAATGCTCCTGAGACCCCAGCACTAGCTGCCACCCCCTGTAGCATCCGTGTGGTGGTGAAGCCAAGCCACCTACAAATCGTATTTTTCCTTGCGGCCTCAACGCCCCATGCCCCCGCCAATTTTACCACCCATGCCTCCGCTAATTACCGCCAACCACCCCCCTCCTCCCTGTGGTGAGGGAATGTCTTGCATCAAGGAGAAAACGGCCCTGGTCCACCCATCCCGCCTCCCATGTTGCCCCCAGCTCCCCCCATCCCTCCCCCCATCCCTCCGCCCATCCCTCCGCCCATCCCAGGTCCACCCTGGCCGGGTGCTGCCTGCGACCCTGGAGCAAACCACCCTGACCCGCCCATGCCTCCGCCGCCCATTCCTCCGCCGCCCATGCCTCCGCCGCCCATTCCGCCGCCTCCCATTCCGCCACCACCCATTCCGCCGCCACCCATGCCGCCGCCGCCCATGTTTCCCCCAGGACCCATGGCTGCTTGTGATCCGGGAGCAGACGACCCAGGTCCGCCCATGCCGCCGCCCATTCCGCCGCCGCCCATTCCGCCGCCACCCATTCCGCCACCGCCCATTCCGCCGCCGCCCATTCCGCCGCCGCCCATTCCGCCGCCGCCCATTCCGCCGCCGCCCATTCCGCCGCCGCCCATTCCGCCGCCGCCCATTCCGCCGCCACCCATTCCGCCACCGCCCATTCCGCCGCCGCCGCCTCCGCCCATGCCACCGCCACCCATGCTGCCGCCGCCCATTCCGCCGCCAATCATTCCTCCGCCGCTCATTCCGCCGCCACCCATGTCGCCTCCGCCCATTCCGCCGCCACCCATTCCGCCGCCGCCCATTCCGCCGCCACCCATGTTTCCCCCAGGACCCATGGCTGATTGCGAACCTGGAGCAGAGGAACCAGGTCCGCCCGTGCCCCCTCCCATTCCGCCACCGCCCATTCCGCCGCCGCCCATTCCGCCGCCGCCCATTCCGCCGCCGCCCATTCCGCCGCCACCCATGCCTCCGCCGCCCATTCCGCCGCCACCCATCCCGCCGCCCCCCATTCCGCCGCCACCAATGCCGCCGCCGCCCATTCCACCGCCGCCCATTCCGCCGCCGCCCATTCCGCCGCCGCCCATTCCGCCGCCACCCATTCCGCCGCCGCCCATTCCGCCGCCACCAGTGCCGCCGCCGCCCATTCCACCGCCGCCCATTCCGCCGCCGCCCATTCCGCCGCCGCCCATTCCGCCTCCGCCCATTCCACCGCCAACCATTCCACCGGCACCCATTCCACCGCCACTCATTCCGCCACCACCCATGCCGCTTCCGCCCATTCCGCCACCACCCATTCCGCCGCCACCCGTTCCGCCGCCGCCCATTCCGCCGCCGCTCATTCCGCCGCCACCCATTCCGCCGCCACCCATTCCGCCGCCGCCCATACCGCTTCCACTGATTCCGCCGCTCTGCTGCTGCTGCTGCGGCGGCTGGCCGGTCGAGCTTCCGCCTCGCGCCCATCCGCGCATCATCCCCCGCAGCTTGTCCGCGCGGAGCCCCGCGGAGAAGCGATAGGCCAACGCCGCGTGGAGAGACGAAACAAGAACAAGCGAGAGGAGGAGAAAGGCCGTGCTCAGGTTACGGCGACGACGCTGGCTGGACAAAAATGAGACCATTCGCGTCATTGTGCTGGCGTTGCGTATTGTTCAGCTGAAAATTCCACGTAAGAGTGTATTCTGGAAGTAGCAGGTTGGAATCGAAGAATCGAAAGCACCTAGAGAAGTTGGAAAGCTCGAAATCTTCACTGCAAATGTGTGTAGGAGAGTGGATGATGTGATGAGTTGCCAATATGACCCAGCCCTTTGTACTACCGTCGAACCGCGAATACTGCTGCACATGAAAATGGTTTCCCCGCGGCGCGATGACTTGAGCTGGAACCAGTGGACCAATGGCTATCCTCGAGTCAAGCGCTTGAAATTCGAGTCAACGCTTTGTGAAAAAATTGTTGACCACTGTACATTTTGGAAACAGCCGACTTCTTCCGTTCGTCCTCCCACGAAACGAAATTTGAAGAAACTCGTATTCCTGATAACATTGGATTCGGTGTTCGCAGTTCGTGACGCAAGTCACACATTGTTTTCTATTTACTATAACGAAAGTTCTGGTTATTTGCGTGGCTTTTCCTGCACAGCCCGAACAAACTCGCACCAATCAAGCTTTCACAAGCGCGGATAGACCAGCAGGCAAGTGTAGGGGTGACTGAGAACAAGCTCGCCCACTCGCGTTCCGCGGCTCGCGCGACCAAGCTGACGTGGCAAAATGCGGAGGTCGCTCGACGGCGGCGAAGTTGGGTTTTAGAACAAGGCGAGATGTAGAACACAGAGGACTTTCGCGAGATGGATTGCATTTTAAAAGTCGCGCAGTGATTCGCTGCATATATGCGCGAATATGCGGCGCCCATGGTATACCATGCGCGGGTTCCGCCACGTTCTTGTTTCAGTGATGTATGGGGGCACGAAAGCAAGGGCAGGGGGAAGGCAAGGGGGAGTGGGGGGGAATTTTGCGGAGGATTCGACGAGAATTTGGATTTTCTTAGCATCGAAGCGCACTCCAGATATTCTTCATCGCATGGCGTGCGGCTGGTCCGCTCCCTCGATTCGACGCGCAAGCATTGCGACGCGCATGGCATGCGAAATCGGTGTTACTGAGCTCGTAGATGGTGGCAGAGGGTCAACAGCGAGACCCGAGCGGCTACGCTACACACAGCTCCGCCTCACACAGCTCCGCCACGCGCAGCTCCGCTTGGCCAGCCCTTCCCCGCCCCGCCCTGTCCTCATCACAATGCCGCATTCCGCAAGTCGCTCTCTGTCCCACTCGCCATTCTTTCGCGTCTCGTCTCGTCCGCCTCCCTGACCAGCTCGGCCGAACCTGAGCCTTGCCAAGCTCAAAACTCCCTTCCCCACCCCCAGCCTTCCCAAGCTAGGCCGTGCCATACAGCTCGAGGCTTCGTGCTCCCTGGGTGATAATCCTTCCTTAATCTTCCCTGCTGCTGCTGAGACATCCGTCTGACAGCATCGCCATCACCCCCCAGGTATGTGGCTGATTTTCACCCCACTCTGAAACTTGATGGCGTGACTGTTGAGGAGAGTCCTAAGGTATGGGCATGGCACTGCTGCTTGTCATATGATGGTTGTGAACCATGCTGCTGCTTAGTTCTCACGGGAAAAGCTAAGCTCACACAGCTGTTCAGCTCACATCGCTCACCGCCGTGCGCTTTCACCTGTTCTGTTTGAACATGATGGGGACATGCGGTCTTGTGGTATCGCCGCTAGGCCCCATAAGCTGCATGGTACAATAGACATGCGTTCTCACACACACTCTCACACACACGTTGTGCTTTTGTGATTCAGTGTGTAGCCTATGGCCCACAAGTTGCATCACTCACCCCACGCTGCATGCATGTCACGATACATACTCACATTCCAATACTTCATTCACCAGGCTCAACTCTCGCCAGATTTTGTTCTACTACTGAGAGTGCCATGCCTAAGACAGGTACCAGTACCTAATTTCAAGCCCACCTGTGCACAAGTGCATAAAAGGGTGCTACTGTTGACACGGAAGGAAAGTCCTAAATACGTGTACCGTATGCCAAAAGAGAGGTTCTCAAAGATGAAAGATCCAGCTTACATTCTTTTGTGGAGGGTTCTATTGGAACAGCAGTTTTCACTTCACCCTACCTATTCAGCACATCCACCTGCTCCAGTGAAAACCATGGAAAGAGCGAGAATAGTTATTGTTTCCGCCTTTGCTCTCTCCCTACCATTCTGCTTTATCTGCAATCGCCTGTCCTTGCTTCCGCCTTTGCTCTCTCCCCGCAATATAATCCCCCTGCCATGCATCCATCTCCTTATTCGGCATCACCATGCGTGCTCGCACTCGAGCATTGTCCCACCTCTCCCTCCCTCCACCCTTCTGCATCTCTCTTCTCATCCCCATCCTCCCCTTCCCTTCCACTACCTCATCACCAAAAACTCGAATCCCATGTCCCCCTTTCTCCTTCACCAGCTCCCGCTCCCATCTCTTGCTATTCCCACTCCAGCCTAGCCGGAGGCAGAGCGTCTTGTGGTTGACACACCTCCCAGAGGGCAAGAGCAGCTCCTCCAGTTTCACCAGGGAGGTGAGCTGTTGCAAACCATCATCCGCTACCCCAGTGCGCCTCAAATCCACCTGTTTGAGGCTCGTAATCTTCCCCACATGCGCCATCCCAGCAGACGTGACACACTCGCACCCAGCAAGATCCAAGCGCTTGAGCAAAGGGAGCCCTGTGAGGTGCACCAGGCCAGCATCGGTCACCTTGGTGTGTGCGAGAGAGAGACACTCGAGCCTGCTCACTGCCTCAACGCCCTTCAAGTGCTCGTCCGCAACGGGTGTGCCACTTAGGTGCAGCTTCTCCAGCCATGGGAGCTTGTATAGGCAGGAGATGCCCTTTGCGGTGAAACCCGAGGATCCATCCAGGTTGAGAGCGGTCAGGTGGGTCATGGTGGATACATGTGCAAGGACGGCGCCAGAGAGGCCTGAAAGACCACCCATATCCAGCTTTGGCTTTCCTGAGGCAGACTCAAGTCTCTGGAGGGGATGGAACTGGGGGGGGGCGGAGAAGGGGGGAGGTTCAAAAGACATGATAACTGTACCACGTGCGAGGAGGAAGGGAACAAAAACAAGAAGATAACAGGAAAAACAGTAACAACAGAAGCCGTCGTATTAAGAAAAGAACGGTTCATGTGGGTTGGAACCGTTCACTCACAGCCATACATTTCCACCAAAAATGCCAGTCACCTGCCAGATAGCTTGACTAGCCCCATCGTGGTGTACTCCTTCCGCCGTGCCGTTCCACACGGCCTCACAGCCTTGCTTGATGAGCTGCCTTCCGCCTTCTTCCCTCACCATCGCACCAGCATCCTCACTGCCTTCCTGCAACGCTCCCACTATGTCCCTCAGTTCATTCGCCTCTTGCTTTGCAGCCTTCCTCAACTCACCCAACTGCTGCTTCACTGCTGCAAACTCCCTCTCCCTTCGCTTCAGCGCAGCTTCAAGCTTGGCGTTTCTCTCCTGAAACTTCATCCTTATCTCATCCACCTCCGCTATAATCTCTTGAGACAAATCCTGCCTCGCTGTGGCCAACTTGCCCTCACTAAACTCACTCACTTCCGCCACCTGCAACTTCACTGCTGCCAACTCCTTCTCCCTCTCCGCCACGCTTGCAGCAGTGCAGCCGTTTCTCTGCTCCACCGCACCAATGATGTTTCTCATCTCATTCAGCTTCCGTTGAGACGCAGCCTTGTTCTCACATACCTCTCGTTTCACTGCTGCCAACTCCCCTTTCACTTCCGTCAACTCTCTCCCCTTTTGCTCCCGAACTTCACGCGTCTCCCTGTCAGCAGCTGTCTTGTAACCATGAACTCTTTCTTTTTTGAGATTCTCAAAAAACATGAACTCTTTCTTTCAGTGCAGCCAAAGCTGACTTGACAACCACCACCTCCAGTTTACAAGGAGCCATTTGCACCACCTGATCCACAGCGAGCTTGAGCGCATGCACAGCCCTGTCCCTCTCACCTACTTCCCTCTGCAATCGTTCCATGGCTGCATTGCCCTGAGCCAGTGCGTCTGTCAACTCACCCACCGCTCCTCTCCTCCCTCTCTTGCTCCAGCTCCCTTGTCAGTGCTTGCTCTTTAGATTTTATCTCCTGCACTTGCCTTCTCAGCTCACTCAGCTCAGCTTCTGTTCTCTCAAGCTTCTCACGCTGCTCCAGCTCCCTTGTCAGTGCTTGCTCTTCATCTTTCGTCTCCTGCACCTGTGTTCTCAGCTCGTTTAGCTCAGCTTGTGCTCTCTCACCTCGCTCACCCCTCTCCTCCCTCTCGTGCTCCAGCTCCCTTTTCAGTGCTTGCAGTTCATCTTGCGTCTCGCGCACTTCTCTTCTCACCCCAGCTTCTGCTCTCTCACACTCCTCCAGTTCCTTCCTTGAATCTTCCAGGTGCCACTCTAATGAGCTTATTCGCTCCTCTGCCCTCAACATAGCTGCTTTCAGCGACTCTGTTCCCGCCCTTTGCCTCAGCACTACCACCAAAGTCTCATTCATCACTGTCTTTCCAAAACTGCCAATCTCACTGCACATGACAGAGTCGCATGGCAGCATGACGAAGTATGTAGCAGCACACGAGAAGCATTCAAGAGAATAAGATGCAGAATGAAGGGATGAGTGCATAGGAGCAGCATGCACGCATCATGAACAAGAGGGGGAAAAACTATCATGCAAGAGAAACCAAGTGGAGGGGGTTATTAATAAGCCTTGCGAAAGAACACAATGATATTGAGGCGCTTATCACAGATATGAACGTTGTATGTATGTTTCGATGAAAACAAAAGACAGAGAATGAGAGGAGAGGTGGGAGAGAGGGTAGAGTAGGGAGGTCCTCACATGGCTTTGCGAAGAAGCGGGTAGTTATCAAGTTCCTGTGGCAGGTAGGGGAGGAACCGCGTTGGAGGAAAGGGAGAGCGATGAGGAGGGAAGCAGGAGAGAGGAGGGAGAAAGGGAGGAATGATTGGTGTGATTGGAATGGGATGGGACGAAACGACACAGGCACACAGATTGACACAGATTGGAAATCAGTCCCATAAGAGAGAACAATGGTTGACATCAGAGAATAATATGGCAGCCAATAACCAAGGAGTGGCATGATTACGACGACTGAAGGCATACCTTATCCCTCATCACTCTAGCACTTTCAAGGACATGACTCAATGCATACCGCCTTAGTACCACCACACCACTTGTGAGATACAACCAAGCAAGCAGACGACTCAGCGCATACCATGAAGGACGCAGCTGCTCTCTTCAGCATCGTCAGCTTAGCTCTCGCAGCCAAGCCCCGCAGGCGCAACCACTCCCACACTTGTGCTTGAGTGACATTCATCCACCAGAGGAGCACGATGAGCGGACACAGTGCTGTGTATAGTACGTAGAGCTGGAGTCACACACATGTGCACAGAACAGGGCAGTGAGTTCCCCGGTGAGAGGAGAAAATTAAGGATGAGAACCAGAAAATTGGTGAGGGTTTGTCAGAGTGTAAGTGATGAATTGACAAGAAAGGTAACTGAAGCACGAGGGGAGACTGGACGCACTAGAGCGTGCAGGAGATAAAGTGGCAGAGCTTGAAAACGGGCAGGTTGAACTGAAGGCTCTGCACCTTCGTGGGACTGAAGGCGAACCAGACCTGTGGCATTGTGAACCCCGGCAGTGCCATTGGGCTGGAGGGAGGAAAGAAAACAAATTTCAGGGAACAGAAGGGAATACACAGAGCCACATGGTAATACAGATACACATCAAGTACAGCCAAACCTTGCCAACTAAAAGAAAAAGGTTTTTAGTTTGAGAGATGTTAATGTGACAATTCTAATGCCCCAAGGCACACCCACCTGTTCCCGAGGCTGAGCAGGGAACACGCATGGTAGGCATGATGTGAATCGCACCTATGTTGAACGCGTGGGTTGTGCGTGCTACCTCAACGAGGGTTGTCGTTGTCGGTTGGTGCACGAAAGAGCGGTTTACTTCCACGCTGGGAGGGTCTTGTGGAAGCTGCGAAAAGGCAAGGGACAGGAAAGGTGAGAGAACAAGGTGAGGGCAGAGGTTGAGATGGGTGAAACGAGCTCCACATGGCATGGCGGCCACACCACGTCATCTCCATGTTTTGGATAGCATCACATAGCATAAAATCCAGCACTGTGAAACGTAAACCAGCTCCGCCTTGTGATGCTCAAGCGCACACAATCCGACCAAGATTTCAGAGTAGATCCAAAACGGTCTCAATCTGACTCATACATGCTGTGTCAATTCATCGCTGGCATAGCTGGCAAGAGGGCCATTTTTCACCGGCAGCAGATGCAGCAGCCTCGAAGTTGTCATAGCAGCAAGAATCACTGCGACTAGCAGCCCTGCCACCGCCGTAGCCCCTCCAGCCATTCGAGCCATGGCGACGAGCTGGGAGAAACCAGGAGAAAGTACCCGCCGAGCCGAGCAGCACCACGCTTGGAGCGGTTGCGGATGCGGATGAGAGACTTAAGGAAAACGAGGAAGTGCTGGTAATGAAAGACGAGATGGACGACTAGAGAGATTATTAACCCATCGGGCGAACTGTTAATCCATCGAGCGAACACGAGGAGGTGGTATTTCGTAAGCTCGAATGACAATGGAGAGAGAGAGTCGGGATCGATGAGCTCGAAGAGGCGTGGACGAGACGCGGAAAGACGAGGGACGATGTGCGAGCGCTCGACATGACTACATAGAGAATGGACCGTCATGTGACCCTGATGTTAAGGCATGCAGGGAAGGCAGGTACGCCAGCCATCAGGAGAGGAAGCAACGGCAGGCATGCAATCGACAGTGCGACAACGAGCAGACCCGATCCGAGTAGCCCGCCGAGCATTTCAACATGCTGTCATGCGTGGCCCGTGTGCTTGCTGCCGTGACAGTCATGCCTCAAAATGATGACGTCATTCGACATCATGCATGGACGTGGCAGGAGTGATGGCTAGATCAAGATAACGTCACTCCCGAGTCGCAGCGAGCAGCTCATGAGCACCATCGTCTCATGCGAGGGTGTGGTGGACAGAAACCGTAGGATGTGAAAATCATCCTCATCTTCATTCGTCGATGGACTTTGCCCAGGACTACGGACTCTCGACGTCGGTCCCTCAATCGACGACCGGCTTGCGAGACTGCCCCTTCGCCAGCTGAGGCCCGTCGCGACTCTCGTCGTGCGAACCCACTTCGTCAACCCAACATCCGCCCACGCCATTCCCACTCTTATCGGCGGCATGAGGCCCTAACTGCTCGCGAAGAAACACATATGCTAAACTAATCTGTCCGCAGAAGCTCAACAGCTGGGAAGGAATCCAATGTACTGTGTGGGATGAGCCTAAACAGTCGTCAGGGGTGTCCGACACATTGCACACGTCGCATGGATCGTGACCCGTCGCATTTCACTAAGCAAAAGCAACACGTGAACAAGGCGTGGGAGATGGCTAGAACGCGTTTCCCGTACGTATTCTTCAGTTCGGTATGAAGTGGTCCGAACTGAACCAAGCCTCCAGACAAAAATGGCATCTTTTAAACTCGGATCCTCGTTATTGGATAAACGAGACCTGGTACAGTAACCCCGCATGAAAGGCAACGGGCGCTGGACGCTACTAGGGCAGGCGTAGTCCTGAAACAAGGCGACAACACCGCCGCATGCCGTGTTTATCGCGCGAGCACGCCGGGGGGACAGCCTTAGGGAATTTCGATTCTCTCTCGTGGCATCGAAGCGCAATTCAGCCCATCCACCCTTGCATGGCGTGCTGCTGGTTCGCTCCTCGCCGAGACTCGCAAACGTTGCGAATCGCATTGCATGCAAGCGTGCTACTGAGCTCGGGGATGACGGGACCCGAGCTCCCCCATGCGCAGCTCCGCCATGCGCAGCTCCGCCATGCGCAGCTCCGTCATGCGCAGCTCCGCCATGCGCAGCTCCGCCATGCGCAGCTCCGCAGATCCGCCACGCGCAGCTCCGCCCTACCGAGCTCCTCCATCACGCCGAGGCGAGCCAAGCCCAACCACCCGACTGCCCTGAACACTCTCCAGCCTCCCAGCCTTTCACCTTGTGGGTTGCTCCAGCACCCACCGCCTCGTTCTCCTCCCCTCTTGCCACCTTCTCCCCCTCTAAGCTCCGTTCTCGCGTTTTAAAAATCCTTTCGGATTCTTCCTAGCTGATCGCGCGGTATGCCTGGAGTGCTTCGAGTGGCTGTGGCGGGGGCAGGCCTGCTAATCGCAGCGATTCTTGCAGCTGTGACTGTATCGAGGCTGCTGCCGCTGACACATGCTCCGCCTGACAGCAACGGCATCACCCGCCAGGTATGTGACTGATTTCACCCCCACTACAGTAGTTTTTGAGGCGATTTTTGCAGCGCATTAACATTGATTCCAACTTACACCAGGACTAAAGCGAGTCAGTTGTTTCTTTCAATTTCCCTGCGATATAGAGAATCATGAGGCAGTGAGGCAGGCAGAGTGGAGATTATAGGATGGCTGTGAGCTATGCTATTACTCACGGCCAAGCTCAGCTCACATCAACCATCAACCATCACCTGTTCTGACACCTCTCTCTCTTCTCTCGTCCGTTCTAACACCTTTCTTCTCACCTCTGCTGCTCTCCGTGTTGCCATTTGCAGCTTCCACGTGTCATTAGCGGCCTCTCAGTAAACAGCTCTTTCGAGCATCAACTGCAAGCGAACCAGTCTTTGGTGCATCAACCTCTAACTGCCCCTGTGGTGCGCACACACGAGCACACGAGCACATGAATTTGGTACACGAGCACAGAAGCTAAGCTCCCATGCAGGCCTGCATCGTTAAACAGAATCCATAAGTAAGAGGTGCTTGCAACCTCAGTTTAGTGTGTTGATGTGTGGGTGTGTGGGTGCGTCAGATGTGTGGATGCGTGGGTGTGTGGGTGTGTGCGTGCGTCGGTGTTTGGTTGTCTCGGTGTGTATGTGCAAGTGAGTCTCCATGCGACTCTGTGTTTATCCCAATGGGGAACATTAACCATGTCGGTGTATCGGTGTATCTATGTGTGTCCATGCCACGGTGCTTATCCCCCTGGATTCATATTCAATCCCTCTTGTTTTGTTCCTCCCCCCAGCCCAACGCCACAGCCACGTGTCACAATGCCACAGGTCTGGTTGCTCTTCAGGTGGAGGAAAGCGCAGACTCTTCGGTTCAACCTGTCTCCTTACACGCTTTGGCACTACACCTCCTCCTAACCCTGGTGCGTGCACCCTCACTCATGACACGCGAGCGTGACACTCACTCATGCATGGACCGGGAGTGGAAGTCTGCTTGTGGCATGACCCCTGCCATCCGCCATTTTATTTACTCTGGCACACTTTACCTGCGTTTTGTTTTGCTCCAGCGTTTTCTCATGCTCAAACTGATTCTGCCCTGCGGTCCCTCCAACCATGAGTGACAGCGATCCGTTTCTTGGCATCCAACTGTTTCTTCAGCCCGTTCTGCTCCCCTGCTTGTGCTCTCTACTTCCAACATGCGTGATTCAAGTAATGCTGTACTGTGTGCTGTTGGTGTGTGTGTGTGTGTGTGTGTGTGCGTGCGTGCGTGGTTGTGTGGGTGTGTGCGTGTGCATGTGGTTGTGTGTGCGTGCGTGTGCATATTCGTGCGTGCTGTGTGCGTGCGTGCGTGCGTGCGTGCGTGCGTGCGTGCGTGCGTGCGTGTGTGCATGAACGTGTGGATGTGTGGGTGGGCACGGCCGTGGGCGTGTGTGTGTGTGCATGTACGTGTGTGTGTGCATGTGCGTGTGCGGTTGCGTGTGTGTGTGCATGTGCGTGTGCGGTTGTGTGTGTGTGTGCATGTGCGGTTGTGTGTGCATGTGCGTGTGCGTGGTTGTGTGCATGTGTCTGTGTGTGCATGTGCGTGTGTGGTTGTGTGCATGTGCGGTTGCGTGTGCATGTGCGTGTGCGTGGTTGTGTGCATGTGTCTGTGTGTGCATGTGCGTGTGCGTGGTTGTGTGCATGTGTCTGTGTGTGCATGTGCGTGTGCGTGGTTGTGTGCATGTGTCTGTGTGTGCATGTGCGTGTGCGTGGTTGTGTGCATGTGCGTGTGTGGTTGTGTGCATGTGCGGTTGCGTGTGCATGTGCGTGGTTGTGTGCATGTGTCTGTGTGTGCATGTGCGTGTGCGTGGTTGTGTGCATGTGTCTGTGTGTGCATGTGCGTGAACGGTTGTGTGCATGTGCGTGCATGGTTGTGTGCATGTGCGCGCATGGTTATGTGCATGTGTGTGTGTGGGCATCCCCCCACAGCTCTACGTGCTCTACACATTACTGTGCCCTCTCCTAGGGCTGCTCTGGTGGATGGACGTTTCTCAAGCTCAAGTGAGGGCGTGGGTGCAGCGACAGGGCTCTGCTGTGAGGGAGTGTGTGCAGCGGCAGCGATCAGCTTTGGGGGCCAATCTGATGAATCTGAGGAGAGCAGCTGTGTCTCTCATGGTATGCTGATGAACCCGTGCCATGGGTGATGATGCAGTTCATGCCATGACTCTTGCTCACCATGCCATGACTCTTGCTCACCATGCCATGACTCTTGCTCACCATGCCATGACTCTTGCTCACCATGCCATGACTCTTGCTCACCATGCCATGACTCTTGCTCACCATGCCATGACTCTTGCTCACCATGCCATGACTCTTGCTCACCATGCCATGACTCTTGCTCACCATGCCATGACTCTTGCTCACCATGCCATGACTCTTGCTCACCATGCCATGACTCTTGCTCACCATGCCATGACTTGCTCGTCGTGCCATGACTTGCTCGTCGTGCCATAAGCTGCTGTTTTCTTGCTGTGTGTTCAATAACGAGGGTTTCAGTCTCAGTGCGCTCAGTCTTCCCACTCCGCTTCAGTTGCACCTCATCTCAACCTCTCATGCCAACTCCCCGTTGTATCTCTCTCCTCCACGCCACAGACACTAGGAATCCTCCCCCGAATCCACGATGCCATGTGAGAATGAATGACATACAGTGCCAGCTGCGTTCTATGGGCTTTGCTGCGTTGGATGCTATTTGCTCTGCGCTGCCTTTCTTTCTGCTAGTACCATCTACCATATCTCTTTGTCGACTTGTACGCTCCTGCCCTCTTTCCCCTTCTCGTCTCACATTTGCTTGCAAATCTCGATTTTTTTTTCTCAAATGGTCCTTTGTATTAATTCAGCAGGGGGTACAGACATGCAATTTGACTCGTGGTTCCCTTATACCTTCCGACCCATCAACCCATCCCTCTGACCCTCCCCCCCCCCCCCCCCCTTAGTGCCCCTCTAACCCTCCAGCGTGTGGAGGATGTCCCCTAGGTGCAGCGGCCATGGGTCCGCTGCCATCTGGGGGTGCGCTGCCTCAATCCCCGCCCTGGCCTTGGTGTGCAGGGCATTCGCCTGGGAGCGCTGGAGGGCCACTGACCAGCGCTGGCTGAAGTGGCAGGCCATCTTCTTGGCCGATTTCGCCAGGGGGTTGGCCCTGAACCGGTTCCTAGCTGCTGCTGTGGCCAGCAGCTTCAGGAACGCCGTCGTGGGGGGCGCGTTTGCCCCATAGGTCTCGACGGCCAGGGCGCAGAACACCACGTGTTCTGTGTGCCGGTAGTAATCCCTTTCCTTCCGCTTCTGAGCCTCCCTTGCAGCCCAGCCTGGGGGTTTGCGGGCTGTGGGGTCCCGGTTCTGCAGCACGGGGTCGGTGATAGTCGTGTCTGTGATCCAGGTCTCTCCACTGTCTGGGTCACGCACGATCACATCGGCCTTCTTCGGGTCATCCGGTGGTGAGTACATTGCATTCTCCAGGTATACCACCAGCTGCGCCTCCCTCGCCATTTTTGCCACGGCAAAGGCCAGCTGATTGTGTGTGCGCGTTCTGTCCGGGCCTGTGCTGCAGCGGAGTAGGTGGTTGGGTAGGCTGCAGTCGGCCACGAGCTCTCCACACTCGCACACAGTAGGTACGTTCTGTCGGATGCCCATGCGGAAGGCCAGGGCTGTTCGGAATTGCCCTGGTGAGAAGGAGAGGTCTGGGGTCAGGGGTAGGGCTTGCAGCCATGCTCCCGCTCCCTCGCCTCTCAGGCTGACGAGGCGGAGCGTGTGGCCCATCTCGGGGGCTGACCTGATTGAGCGTGATTCCTCTGTCAGGGTGTCGGCCTTTGCCGCGTGCACTTCCTGAGAGAGGGCCCGCTGCAGCTGGTCTTGGGACGGGGTTTCTTGCTCCTCACGGAGGTATTGCAGCGCCAGCGGCGGCAGTCGTCCCTCCATGTCTTGGATGTTGACCGAGTGTGCCGCAGACGGCTGCAGGGCGTTGCTGTTGCTCCCTAGCGCCGCGGTTGCTGGCAGGTCGAGTGAGCGGAGCAGGCGTAGTGCCTCTGTCGTTGAGGCCAGGTAGGCTGGTGCTGCTTCTGTTGTGGGATCCGTGAGGCCCAGTCCACCTAGGGCCACTGGGAGGGTTGATTGGCGGATGAGAAAATTGAACTCGGCTTCGCGGCGGGGTGGTTGGATGCTGGCGGCAGTCAGGGCGGTGTTGAGCAGTTCGGCGCGGGAAGGACATCCGCTGGGGTGGTGCGCAGCAAGTAGCCGATTCTGCGGCTGATGCAGCGGGACAGGAGCAGGAGGGCATGCTGTGGATGGATGGATGCTAGGGAGCCCAGGGGTGCCGCTGCGTCTGTCAGAGTACTGCGGACCAGGTCAGAGCAGAAGCGCTGTGACCCCACGGGACTTCCCAACACCCGTACCCCCTCGTGGGTGAGTAGGAGGCCCTCGGGGAGCTCGTCACCCTCAAGCGGCGTCGTGGACCATGCCGACGATTTTCTGAGGTTGCAGGTGAGGCCATCCTGGGCGAGCAGCGGCGTCAGCAACTTAAGCGCGCCGAGCGTTGCTGTCGCCGGTCCGATCATGGTGATGTCATCTGCGTATGCTAGGATCGTGACTTCTGGGTGCTCTGCTGCTGTGCGTCTGAGGTGCTGCTGGATTGATGCCGCGAACAGCAGGGGTCCGAGGGGGTCCCCCTGCCTCACCCCCCTTCCGCTGGTAAGTGCCGTCGTGCTCAAGCGGGGATCGGTCAGCAGCTGAGAAGGCGTTGCGTAGAAGGAGCGGGTGAAAGGTATGAGCGGTGCTAGCGGGGTGTTGGTGAGTGCGTTGAAGAACGCTTTCCTCTCTACGGAGTTGAAAGCGTTTTCAATGTCGAGTTGGAGGACTAGGTTGGAAGGTTGTGAAGTGGTGAGGTCTCTGACTGCATGTATAACGAACTCAGCTCCGCCTGGGACTGCCACACCGAATTGTTGGGGTAAGAAAAATCGCCTTGTTTCTCCTTGCAGTTCCGAGAGTGCCACCTTTGCTGCCAACCGGAGTAGGGATTTCCCTATTGCGATAGGGCGTACCCCCCCCCCTGGTTTCGCGAAGGCGATGAGGCGGGATGGCGAGAGTAGTGCTGCAACCTCGGTGGAAAGATTCGTGGAGAGAAGATGTGTTACGGCGGAGTGTAGGTGCCCCAGCACTTCGATGTTGCTTAGGACTGGGTCGCGGTAGTGTTCAAATGTTGACCCGGATGGACCAGCCCCAACTCCGCTGGGGCAATCCCCAAGGACGTCTGAGAAACTTTCCGCGGTGCACGAAAATTGCGTGGGTGTTGTGTAGGTGTGGACCCAGTCGGGCAGCTCAACTTGGGGTTGGGGATGTTTCAATTCCAACTGCTGCAATGTTGCGATCGTTGCAGGGGCCGCTGGCGAGGGTGAGAGGGCTGCCAACGCTTTTCGCAGGTTACCCCGTTTCACCAACCCCTCCACACGTGAGCAGATTCCCAGGGGGTCGTTTTGGTGCTGAGGTGGCTCAGCTTGGTGCAGGGACCCCACATAGTCACTGTAGAGCTGGTTCCAGTGGCCACATCTGAATAGGTGCATCTGCTCTCGCAGCACCTTCCACTTAGAGCTGGACCTCCTGCTAAGTCGTAAGGTGAGACGTGGCAGGAACATGAGGACCCGCCACGCTCCCGCGCAGTTGGGCAGTTTGGAGATCCGTAAGAGGGCGGCCATCATACAGGTGGAGTAGTCGCTTAGTATCTGCGGCGGCAGGCGGCGGACGATAGGCGGGTGGGTGGTTGACGTTAGGGTTGAAGAGTCCCAGCTCATCGCGATCTCAAAGAGATCCTCCCTCGATGCCAGCTGGGGCAGGTCCTTGTCACCGCCGGAGCCCCTGCGCGCGGGGTCCGTCTTGCGCTCCGGCGCAGAGGCTGTGGCGCACCAGGAGCGTTCGCCTCGCCGTCGCTCATCGGCAGCTCGCGACGATAAGCGGGAGAGCCGCCGCGATGATCGTCACGGTGCGGCCCGTTCGCCGCTGTCTCCTCGTTCGCCTCGTTGCGTGGCGTCGCGAAGCCGATCCCGTGACCGCCGTTCGCATCGTCATCGTTCGCCCCCTCATCGTTCATCTCGCCAGCGGTCGCCTGCCCGCCAGACGTCTGGGCGTCGGCCCCCAGCTCCGCGTTCGCCCCCTCCTGCAAAGCGCCAACGGCTCTACTCCCCTCGTCGCGGGGACCGTTTTCCTGGCCGCCAGCGTCAGCAGGGCCCATCTCGCTCGCAGTTGCCTGTGCGCTCGAGCGCAAGTGGGCGTGCGCGTCGTGGGCGACGGGGGGGTGACAGTCGCGGCGGAAAAGCGGGTCCAGCGCCGTCCGCAATGGAGCGCCGTCTTCTGGATAGGCTTGATGACGTGGAGAAGGAGCTTCGACGCTCGCGTGCGGGGTCGGCGTCACCATCAGCTCCTCGCGCTGCTCCCGTCGTCCCTCTCTCCGCGCTCCTGCCCCACAATCCCTTTGGATCCCCGGCGCGTTCAGAGCGGCCGCTGCCTGCGGGGATGGGCTTCGTAGGTGCTGGTGGCGGGCCGCCGTGGGCTCAGTTTGCTCAGCCGCGTCCTCTTCCTGCTCCGCGTGATCTTGCCGTGTCGTCTCACCGTGCCCGCGCGTCTGCGTTGCTTCCGCCGATGAAGGAAGTTCCCACGGCGACCCTGGCCCGCCTATGGTCGCTGGCGGCGTCCCTGCAGAGCCTTGAGCGGATTCTCCAGGAGTCATTTGACTCCATGCCGGTGAGCCCTCCGAGCAGGTTCTCTCAGAAACCGCGAGCAGATTGTCATGCGGCGGCGTCAGCGCTATTCGCGCTCGTAACGCCACCGCAGGTAGCGCCCTCGCCGGGAGCAACCTCGGCCAGCCAGCTGGCTGACTCGGCCCTGGCTCTGAGGACGCTTGTAGTAGGCCCTGGTACTCCTGTTGACGTTGTAGGCGCCACCGTGTCTGTGGTCCGCCAGTTGTGGTTGAACACGAGCGGAATGCTCGCTGCGGTAGAGGCGGACCGCATGTAGGCGCTCCCCCCTTGCGCGTGTAGACCCGTTCCATCCTCTACTTGCTAAGTGTCTATGCTTGCTTTGTTTGTATCGGTTGCCTAAGCTACTACTGCTTGTTGTTTCCCCTTGCCATCCCTAACGCGCGGCCGAAGGCCGCGCACGCGAGCGCCGGCGGCCTTCGGCCGCCGGCGCGAAGCGCCAAAATTTTCAGCACTAAATGAAAGAATGAGAGATGGAGAGGTCGCCGTGGCCTTAAGTAGTCATGGCAGAGGGCAGAAAGCAGAGGGCAGAGGGTAGAAGGGGAGAGGCTAATCCTCTCTCTCTCTCGCTCTCTCGAACAACACCAAAATTTTCAGCACTAACTGAAATATTTTTTTTCTCTCTCTCTCTCTCTTTCCATTCTGATGTGCTGTCGCATGTAGTGAGCTGTGCACTTCGGGGATGAGAAGCGTGAGTGAAGCTCTTTTTGTAATTCTCAAGCCAATGTTCAGAGCAGCCATGCTGAGGCAAGCATTGAAGAGGAGAATAAGGTCTCTTGATATGCAGCTGGCAGCGGCAAGGAGAGAGGAGGCTGAGAGGGAAAGAGCCATGGAATGGAGTGAGCTGAGAAGGCTACTGGATGAAATAAGAGATGGAGAGAAAGCAGTACTTGCTGAGGTGGTGAGGGAGAGGGAGGAGCGGGAGAAGGTGAGAATGGAGATACATGAGTTGAGGGAGCGACTGGGAGAGGCATTGGGTGGTGGTGCATTGGCGAGTGTGTTGAGAGAGCGATTGGGAGAGGCGATGGGTGGTGGTGCATTGGCGAGTGTGTTGAGAGAGCGATTGGGAGAGGCGATGGGTGGTGGTGCATTGGCGAGTGTGTTGAGAGAGCGATTGGGAGAGGCAATGGGCATTGGTGCATTGGCGAGTTTGGTGAGGGAGCGACTGGGAAAGGCAATTGGCGGTGGTGCATTCGAAAGTGCGTTGAAAGAGTGTTTGGGAGAGGCAATGGGCAGTGGTGCATTGAAGGGAGAGGAGGAGAGGGAGGGAGGGGGAGAGAGGGTTGGACCAAGGGAAGGGGAGGAAGAAAAGGTAGTGGTAGAGGAAGGGGGGGGAGAGGAGGAGGGAAAGGATGAGAGGATGAAGGTGGAGTGGAGGGAGGGGAGGAGGGAAGAGAGGAAGAGGGTGGAGAGGAGGAGGGAGGAGAAGAGGGAGGAGAGGAGGCGAGATGAGGAATGGAGGGAGGAGGAGAGAAGAGATGAGGAGAGAAGGACGGAGAGGAAGGAGAAGAGGAGGATGGAGGAGAGGAGGAAGGATGAATGGAAGGAGGAAAGGAAAAGGGATAGGAAGTGTGGAGGTAGGGGAAGTTGAGGTAAAAGAAATGGTAGTCGCCTGGAAGTTGCATGGCAGTTGCATGGCAGTTGCATGGCAGTTGGCAGGTGTCAGGGAGGTGCGATGGCATACCGTAGACATGGCCAAGTGATACCGGTAGCAGCATCTTGACTGTTGCACGGGTTGAGGACTGCGTTGTCTGTTTCTCGTGAGAGAATACCTACCGTATGACTACAATGAATGTGAATTACCACTAATAATTTCAAATTAGGATTGGCCTACAGCATTTGATTCACCCGGTAGAGCTTGGTATGCATCATCAACCTCTATCTACAGACCTAGCAGTCCAAGGAACATACCATACGGTAGGAAAGCTCTTGGCATAGTACCGGTAAAACAACTAGAAAACAAAGGTAAGGAAGACAACAATAGCAAACGTGCTCACCTAAAAAATCCAGGATGTATGCAGTCACAAGCAAGCCCAACGGTTCTATTGATCGATGTTGACAGAACTCAACCTGGATATCTATGGTGCAGCATTGTGATGGCTTGATGAGTCTGGCTGTCAGGAGGAGCTTGGACGAAGCAGCACTGCTGGCGGCACTCCGTTGGAAGTGCTGCTGCGACCATGCTCCTAGCAAACACTACTCAGGGTGTGCCATTTGGGTTGTGGGTGGCCATTCTTATATCTGCCCCTGCTCAGAGGAGAACACTACTGTGGTCCGCCCATGCCGCCTCCCATGTTTGCCCCAGGCCCTCCCATCCCTCCACCCATCCCTCCACCCATCCTTCCACCCATCCCTCCACCCATCCCTCCACCCATCCCTCCACCCATCCCTCCACCCATCCCTCCACCCATCCCTCCACCCATCCCTCCACCCATCCCTCCGCCCATCCCTCCGCCCATCCCTCCGCCCATCCCAGGTCCACCCTGGCCGGGTGCTGCCTGCGACCCTGGAGCAACCCACCCTGACCCGCCCATGCCTCCGCTGCCCGTGCCGCTGCCGCCCATGCCTCCGCCGCCCATGCCTCCGCCGCCCATGCCTCCGCCGCCCATGCCTCCGCCGCCGCCCATGCCTCCGCCGCCCATACCCCCGCCGCCCATGCCTCCGCCGCCCATACCCCCGCCGCGCATGCCTTCCCCAGGACCCATGGCTGCTTGTGATCCGGGAGCAGAGGAACCAGGTCCACCCATGCCCCCTCCCATGCCGCCGCCGCCTGTTCCGCCACCACCCATGCCGCCTCCGCCCATGCCGCCGCCGCCCATGCCTCCGCCCATGCCTCCGCCCATGCCTCCCCCAGGACCCATTGCTGATTGTGACCCGGGAGCAGAGGACCCAGGTCCGCCCATGCCGCCGCCCATTCCGCCGCCGCCCATTCCGCCGCCACCCAATCCGCCGCCGCCCATCCCGCCGCGACCCATTCCACCGCCACCCATTCCGCCACCACCCATTCCGCCGCCGCCCATTCCGCCGCCACCGATTCCGCCGCCACCCATTCCGCCGCCGCCCATTCCGCCGCCACTTATTCCGCCGCCGCCCATGTTCCCCCCAGGACCCATGACTGACTGAGATCTGGGAGCAGAGGAACCCGGTCCGCCCATGCCGCCGCCCATTCCGCCGCCGCCATTTCCGCCGCCGCCCGTTCCGCCGCCACCCATGCCACCGCCGCCCATTCCGCCACCCATCCCGCCGCCGCCCATTCCGCCGCCGCCCATACCGCCGCCGCCCATTCCGCCACCCATCCCGCCGCCGTCCATTCCGCCGCCGCCCATTCCGCCGCCTCCCATGCCGCCGCCGCCCATGCCGCCGCCCATTCGGCCCCCGCCCGTTCCGCCGCCGCCCATTCCGCCGCCGCCCATTCCGCTGCCGCCCATTCCGCCTCCGCTCGTTCCGGTGCTCTGTTGTTTCTGCTGGCCGGTCGAGCGTCCGCCTTGCGCCCATCCGCGCATCATCCCGCGCAGCTTGTCCGCGCGGAGCCCCGCGGAGAAGCGGAAGGCCATCGCCGCGTGGAGAGACGAGAGCAGGACGAACGAGAGGAGAAGGGCCGTGCTCAGGTCACGGCGACGACGCTGGCTGGACGGAAATGAGACTCTCTGCGTCATTGTGCTGGTGTTGCGTATGTTTCAACTGAGAATACTGCGTACGATTTTTGTTTGCAAGTACTAGCAGCTTGGAAATGAAGAATTCGAAAGCAGCTTCAAGCAGTCTGAAGTTCAGAAGTTGGAAAGCACAAGTCCTATCTTCACTGCAATGTGTGAAGAAGAGTGGATGAGTTGGGCCAATGCGACCCAGCCCTCTTGTACTCCCGTCGCGCCGCGAATGCTGCTGCATATGAATATGCCTTCCGCGCGGCGCGATGACTCGAGCTGCAACTGGTGGACCAATGAGGCTATCGTCGAGTCAAGCGCATGAAATTCGAGTCAACGCCTTGTGAAAAAATGTTGACCACTGTAGGCTTTTTCAACAGCCGACTCTCTCCATTCGTCCTCCCAACAAACCAAACAAACCGGAAATCAAGAAACTTGTGTCCCTGATTACATCGGATCCGATATGCATAGTAGGTGTCGCGGTGCACATATTGTAGTCCATGTACTAAACGAAATGCTGCACAGCACGAACAAGATTTCGGGCCAATCCCCAATCGTGGATAAATCTATGACAAGCAGGCAAGCGCTGGAATGACTAAGAACAAGCTCACCAGAGGGCCTTGCGAAAGTTGACACTATCCGCGACTCGCTCGACCAAGCTGACGTGGCAACATGCGTGGGGGGTATAGAACAAGGCGAGAACGTAGAGAAATTTCGCGACATCGATTCCATTTTAGCGTCACGCAGCAACTCCGCGCATACCGTGTTCATCGCGCGGGTTCCGCCTCGTCTTCCGCTAATGACATGGGGGGGGAGAGGGAGGGTGGGGGCCCGAGGGGACGGGGGAGAAGTTACGACGGGTTGCGGGGGGGCTTTCTGTACGCACGGTTAAGAGGAACCTTCAGCGAATTGAAGGGAAGACTGCTTTTTCACATCTTCTCTCGTCGCATTGAAGCGGGCTTGAATCCACCCACCCTCGCATGGCGTGCTGTTGCGTAGCTCTTCGCTGTGACTCGCGGACATTGCGAGTCTCATTGCATACGGAATCTTGTTACTAATCTCGGCGATGGCGGCAACGAGACCGCAGCTCCGCCAAGCGCAGCTCCGCCATGCGCAGCTCCGCCAAGCGCAGCTCCGCCATGCGCAGCTCCGCCAAGCGCAACTCCGCCAAGCGCAGCTCCGCCTGCTCTGCCATGCCCCACTCCGCCGCACCCTGCCCTGCTCTGCGCTGCCCTACCTCCCTTGGCCTCATCGCCATACCGCGTTCAGCAAGTTGCTCTCATATCGTTCCCACCTCCCACTTCCGCAGCCGCCCCACCTTCCCTAAACGGCCCGTCGGAAGAACCTCAAGCCATGCCAAGCCGTAACCACGCTACCCGAACCAACCACCTCCAGCCACCCCCAGACAACCCATCCCCAGCCTTCCCTCCCCCAGCCCCTCCACCCCCGTCCCCTCCAAGCTCAGCTGCGCCATACGCAGGGGAGGTCAAGTCCGCCTGTGTATTCTCTCTACTCAGTGCTTCTGCAGACTCATCTCTCTGTGACATGCCATCTCACGTCCGCGCTCATTGCCGTCTCACTCGCCTCGCCTCGCTGCGCCCGCACCTGCAGAAGCCTTTCCCCTGCCTGCTTCAGTCCCGTGCCTCCCCCACACTGCCTCGTGCTTCCTCCACCACTCACCGCTTCTTCCTCCTCCTCTCTCACCACCTGCAGCTGCTCCAAGCTCCCTGCTCCCTGCTCATCGCAGGGAGAAAGCAGGGCTGAAATAGTTCCTGCCCCATCTTCCCTGCTCATCGCAGTATGCCTCGAGTGTCTGGAGTGGGTGGGTGGAGTGGGTGGAGTGACTGTGGCGGGGGCAGGGCTGCTACTAGCAGTGGTACTTGCTGCTGTGACTGTATCGCGGCTGCTGCTGCTGAGAAGTGGTTTGGCTGACAGCAGCGATCGTACCCGCCAGGTGTGTGTGTGACTGATTTTCAACCCTCACCGGACACCGCGCATGCAGTTTCAGTCGGTTTCTCGGTCTCGATCAGTTTGCCATGCATGATGCATGATGCATGACCTCGAGCATCATGAGGCGGTGTGGTGGGGCTTTAAGTTTACTCAATATACATGGTCGCCGGTCGGCATGATAGTGATCAATTCCCACGCCAGGTGTGTCACTGATTTTCAACCCACGCCGTGAGGTGTGTCGCCGGAAATCGCGCATGCAATTGCAGTCGGTTTCTTGTCTTGTTCGATTCGCCATGCATGATGCATGAGCTTAAGCATCATGAGGTGGGGTGGTGGATTTGCCATGCATGATGCTGCTGTGTGCCTGGTGGATGCGTGTGCAGCATGCTAACACACACGCCATGCCATGCATACCATGTACGGTGTACTGTGATGCATGGAAACATGGGGCTTCATCTGTTGCATGGAGATGTGTTATGGGCCTACCACACATGATGGGCACATGATGGGGACAAGTGAGGTGGTCGCATGCCTGTTAGACGGAATGAGTTCTCTTTGCTTCAGTGTGTGAGCAACAAGCCACACCACTCACTTCACGCGGCATGCATTCACGCGACATGCAAGCTCACAATGCTTCACGTGCGTGTGTGTGCGTGTGTGTGCGTGCGAGCGTGCGACCCTGCGTGTGGGAGTGTGCGTACGTGCTCTGCAGAGCACTGCGCCTTTTCCGCGTGGTGTGTGATGAGTCGATTTTTGAGTCGACTCAAAAATCGACTCATCACACGCTCTGCAGAGCACAGCGCCTTTTCCGCGTGGTGTGTGATGAGTCGATTTTTGAGTCGACTCAAGCACAAGTGAGGGCGTGAGTGCATCAACAGGGCTCCGCCATGGGCTTGCTAATGAATCTGGTATGCCCTTCATGGTGCCACGAGTTTTATAATTTATGCCATTACTTGTTAATCTCGCTGTTGACTTGCAACTTTTGTTACTTATGTTATAAAGTGGTCTCTGATTGTTCTCCACTTCGTCTCTGGTTGCACTCTTTTGTCATGAGTGCGCTTGGCTCGCCTCGGTTCATTCTTCTCCAAGAAGCACACACATCACCTTCGCACATACAGGTTCACTCAACACTCTCACAAGCTCCTTCAAACCAGCCCTCTCTCTATTCACCCCACCTCTTTTGCTTCCGCCGCCACTCATCCCAATTCTCTCTCCCTCATGCCTGGCATCTCTCCCCCCCACCATGCCACAGACCCTTGGGATCTTCCCTCGGCTTCATAGCGCCATGTGAGAATGACCTGACTTGCCACCTGCTTTTGTACATCTCAGGCTTCCCCTACATGACCATCCCTTGTGATGCCACGTGCATGCAGTGAGATGGGCAGTTGTCTAATGCGAAGCACCATCATTCTGTCTATTTCCAGCTTTTCTTGTAGGTTTTCACCCAAGGAATGGGGTTGTCTGTTCTTTGCCCAAGTGCATTTTCTTCTCTTCAACATCTCCAAGCATGGGCAGGGAGCTAATCAGGAGTTTCTATGAGACTTTTTTCTCCTCTCGTCCGGAAAAGGTGCTTTCGAATGTGGTCGTGCTTGCGTGGAGTGGAGTGGAGCGGAGCGAGCGTGTGAGGGAAATGTGTGGCTTCGGTAAGGTTCCATTCCATTCACCTCACACGCTCGCTCCATTCCATTCAATTCCATTTTATTCACCTGGCCGGTTTCCACCCTCCCATCAGCTGTGCTTCACCAACAATTTCAAGAAATGGAGCATGTATAAAAAGTGGATACCGTACAAGAGAACAAGTACCGTAGCTGTGATTTGCTATCATCTACCATGTATAAAACTTTTGAACAGGAGTGCAGTCTCTACAACAATCCATGCTTCTTAAGCCAATCACCGCTCAGCCTTGAGGTGCTCGCACGCTTGAAATGACAACAATGCATGATTCATGCTTCTAGAGAATGCCATTGGAATGCAGCCATCTCCTCAGGACTCGTGTCTGTCTCTGCTCATGGAGACCCTGCTCCGCCCTTACCACCTCTTGTCATACCACCACCGCCAGTTCCCCCGCTGCCAGTTCCCCCGCTGCCAGTTCCCCCGCTGCTAGTTCCCCCGCTGCCAGTTCCCCCGCTGCCAGTTCCCCCGCTGCCAGTTCCCCCGCTGCCAGTTCCCCCGCTGCCAGTTCCCCCGCTGCCAGTTCCCCCGCTGCCAGTTCCCCCGCTGCCAGTTCCCCCGCTGCCCGTTCCCCCGCTGCCCGTTCCCCCGCTGCCCGTTCCAGGGCCGCCCATTCCTCCGCTGCCGGTTCCACGGTCCACCACTTCCCGTTCCACTGCCGCCCGTTCCACTGCCGCCCGTCCCACTGCCGCCCGTTCCACCGCCGCCCGTTCCTCCACCGCCCGTTCCACTGCTGCCCGTTCCACCGCCGCCCATTCCTCCGCCGACCGTTCCACCGCCGCCCGTTCCTCCACCGCCCGTTCCAGCACCACCCGTTCCTACACCGCCGGTTCCTACACCGCCCGTTCCTCCGCCGCCCATTCCACCGCCGCCCATTCCACCGCTGCCCGTTCCTCCACCGCCCGTTCCTCCGCCGCCCGTTCCTACACCGCCCGTTCCTCCGCCACCCATTCCACCGCCGCCCGTTCCACCGCCGCCCGTTCCACCGCCACCCGTTCCTCCGCCGCCCGTTCCTCCGCCGCCCGTTCCCCCGCCGCCCGTTCCACCGCCGCCCGTTCCACCGCCGCCCATGCCCCCTCCAGGACCCATGCCCGATTCTGACCCGGGAGCAGGGGCACCCATGCCATCATCTATATCTCCCATGCCTGATTCTGATCCGGGAGCAGGGGCACCCATGCCATCATCCATATCTCCCATGCCTGCTTCTGATCCGGGAGCACATAGCGAAAATGGCAAGCTCGGAAAGCAACTCGAAATACACTCTTCCGAAACTTTCCCGATATTTTTTGCCCGGCACTTTTGAGTCAAGGTTTTTGAACTGCATGGCCACAGTCACTTACAAAGTAACTTCGCGTTCACCTTCCCGATGCATTCTGTACATATGCGTGCATCAAATTAGACACTACACCCGCATCCGTGCAGTTGCTCAACAATCATGGGCTGCGCCACACAAAAGTTTACCCAACCATACCATGCCAACCAACTACAAAGTGACGAGTAAGCAACCCCATCTGCCACACCGTACGCGCCCACCCACGTGGCATCCAGTATCAACCCGCACGTCCACGTAAGCGTTTAGGGTTTATAACGTACCCGCACCCCAACCGTTGGATGCACATTCGGGTCACGCAATCGCGACGGTTCACGTGTCTCCTGTACATAAACTCGCGAACCGTGTTACGACATCGCGAACACCAACTCGCACATGCCAGCGCACAGACAGCGCCAGTATCTTCACCGTCCATCTGATCGATGCTCACCCTGTACATACGTGACAGTTGGTGCCAACCCACAGGTGCGCTAACCGCAAATCACTCGTTCAATACCCACTAGCATGCTACCACGTCGCATCACTCTACTTGCGCATCGTGCGTCCGCAGCCTACACTACATTGCATAATCACCGTATACCTGTCGCGCCGCCACCGTTTCGTACACTTCGCCATATTACTCGCCACCCAGTAGTTTTTCACACGCTACTAGGTGACGACGCCATCTGCGTCGTCCATCAGTGGACATCGTCTCTACCACCGAGCTGCCGCGTCACGCACACTTATTCGATCTACCCCATACACTTGCCGGTTGATCCCGTTCTCGCACATCTAGTAACCAGTTACCATCTCATCGTTGCACTCGTTCGCGTCATCTGCACGACACAATCACGACCGTACAGCTGTCTCACCCTCCGCGCATATCACACCGCGTTTCCAGCCGTCAACCTCATCTTCGCGTCCGTACTGGATGGTGACACGCGTAGTCCACCGTGTACGCCACTAATGTGCAATTGGTTCCTCGTCATCTCTTATCCATGTTGAATATCCAACCAGATGTCAACGCGTGCGCACCGCGAAGACTCTTACGTCCACACATTTACGTGACATATGGCACACTCCGTGAAACGCGCCGCAACATGCGGCGCGTTCCACGCCATCCCGCACACCTGGTGGACGGCCTGGCTGATGCATTCCGCATCCTAGTGGTGTAGGTGTTGTGCTATCATCTGCATCAATACCCCAATAAAGCCTCCTCACATTAACGTTGGAACGCACACACAAACATACTACGCAACCATGCATACAACTAACCCCCGTAACTTCCATTAACACACATGCAAAAACCCGTGCACACTAAACTGCTACTCAAGACCCACAACCAGAAGAGATAATGATGCCTGAGACACCTCTCCACCACCTGTCCCCTCAACGGTCCGCAACACGATCCATGACGCCCCCCACGCCAGTCGGCCTACTCAGCACCAACTGACGCCGAAAGGTCGTCATCCCCCACGAGGTCTTCTGACTGAGCTGCGGCGGTGGGCTTCATGTGCTCCAGGCCGCACGCAGAGATGCGCAGTCCATGGCGGCCCCAGGTCCACGCCTCGCGCTCCGCGTCATACTCCGGGTTGCGGATCCGGATCGCCCTCTCCACGGCCTCCTTCACCAGGACCTTGAGGCCGTCCACAACGTGGGCGTTTCCCCCGGCCGAGTTGGAAAGCCGGCCTTTCCTCTCCTCCCAGTAGAGGACGCAGTCGGAGACCTGCGGAAACACCCAGCTTGTCACTCAAATGGTACGACAGTACAACGCAAAAACCGTGCACACATTGAGCGCACAAACTCACCACATGCTCCAACCAGGCCAGGTGGTACACCTTCAGAGTCATCACCAGCCCGGCCTTCTTAGGCCTGAATGCAGCCTTCGCGCATGTCGTGAACGCCCGAGAGGCAAACGGCATGCCGTCCCGGTCTGTCGCCCAGCTCGTGAGCACCAGGGTTTCTGCACACCACATGCGCACAGTCAGTGTCAGTGGCCGCCATACACTCATTGTCAGCATACCAACACGTAGGCGACCCCACCTGCTGTCTTCATGGCACTCACCAGGGCGGTCAGCGCCAAGCCCAATGCGCTCCCGGATCTTCTCGATACTGCGCTCCTTCTCTGGTGCCCACGGGCTGGATGCGTCCCTGTCGTCGCGGAACAAGCCGAGCTTGGGAAGTGCAATGTCTCGCACGCGGGCGGCGGCCCGCGTCTTCCACTCAGAGAGCGTCTTGTTGAGGTCCGCGCGTCGCGACTTGTCAGCCGCCAACGCCAAGCAAGCGAAGCTATGCGGCAGGCGGTCCAGCACCGCACACACTCCATGAGTCTTATCGTCGCTGCTCGGGTAGAAGGTCATCGTCGACGTCGGCCTGTTGAGAAACATGTGCACCCTGGCGAGCTCGCAAACCCTCTGCGCACGTATGGTGTACACGATGAACAAAGTAAGCGTCATCCGATGAGCGTCAACTGCACATCAGTGCACTCCAAATCGATGACGGTTCAATAGACCCCTCCGGAAACATGCCCGCTCACCTTCCACGCCTTGTCCGTCGGCAAATGCTCCAGCGCACGTTGCAGAATAGGGGACTTTGCGGTACGCATATGACGGCCACCAGAACCATGCGTGTCGTCCTCGTCGTCCTCGCCCTCGTCATCGGACCCTCCACTCCACGTCTCGCCACGCTGACGCTTCGGGTTCATACACCCCTGTCCCGGGTCTCTCTGCTTCTGCGCCTTACGCTTACGAGAGCCACCGGAAGGCCGAGACATCGCATTCAAGAACAGCGCCTCCAACCGCGCGTTCTCCTTGGCGATCTTGTCCTGAGCCTGTATAAGTTGCTCGAGGACCCTGCTCGGGATGCGCACGTCATCGACGTTTGGGTTCAACGTGTTCCCGCATGTGCGGTCCACAGGTCCGTCCGCATGTCCTCGGCCGTCACCTCGAGGCACATCCGTGTCCCGCGCGCCTTGGCTTGCGCGCGTGTCAGCATTGGGCGCAGCGGTTCCCGCACACCCATCGTCGTTCGTCTTCGCCTCCGGAGCAGGGTCGGCGGATTCTTCGTGTGAGGCGCTGGCCGAAGTGTCTGAGCCTTCCTCGTCATCCTCCTCGCTGCACTCGGACGAATCTGCACTTTCGGCGCCCGTCCCGTCATCTGTGGGTGAGCGAAACACCACAAAGGCACAACACCCCAAGTTAGCAAATGGCATGTCACTGGGGTCCGAGTTTGTTCAGAGCGGACAAAAAACAGTAATAACGTCATGACACATCCACACATGCTCGGGCTGCATAACTTGCTCCGGCTGCACCACCTCCTTTCCCTTCTTGGCTAAGCTCAGGCGCTTAGGAATGGTCGCCCCACGTTTCCCGTTCGACAGTCGACCTCGCGGCATCGTCAGCTGGTACGACGCTCGCAGGTACGCCGGCGGGAGTGAGACACGTCGCGACCGGCCTCCACCCCTCGTATCGTCGGAAGCAATTGAGGTATCCATTTTCGCAAGGGAAGTATGCAGTGAGTTGCTTTCACAATGACGCTCAATACGATATTTCTACACAAAGTTGGGGGCCCAAATTCTTAACACGCCGGAGCACCGTGTACACAATGAGTTTGGTAGGCAAAACTACCACGTACACATCTGGATGATCGCAATCCGAAACGACGAATAGATGGACACCACGTCAACGTACCTAGTGATGCATGTGTGCACAGCAGAACCACACACTGCGCACATCCTGTTGACATAACCGTATCCATAGTCCTCGTTTGTGCTGCCATCAGGCTCGCAAACTGGTTCTCGGTATTCAGTGATTTCATACACCACTTCGTAATATAGCACACCAAGTGCACGATTACACAACCGGATTACAACACATGTCGGTCACACCATGTACGCACACGTCGTAACGTTTATTACACATGCATACATGCACGCTACAGCAAGCGCTGTACATTAGCAAGTGCAATACAAAACTAAGCAACTACGTGCACGACCTGTCTCCCATATGCTTTGTCTATACATCCACTATGCAGCAGGGCCTGACGTATTCTCATGTGCACCAGTATCTTCCCCTCGCTCTTCCTGCTCATTGTTCTTTGCACCCCCGCCCTGCTCGCTCACAGGGGCCGTCCCCCCACTCTCCGCATTGTCGGGGACCTCTGGTTCGTTGGTAGCCATGGTGTTGCTATCCACCACCCTGTGCCTCTTTGATGTACCTGTGGCACCCCCACGCTTCCTGCCACGTTTCAGCTTGCTGCTCACGCTATCCAGCGCCTCCCGCCAGCTCCTCCACCTCCACCACTTCCGCGCTTCCACCAGGATCTGCAAATCTTCTTTGGTGCAACCACGCAGCATCGCCTTCTCTGCGGCTGACAGGCTGACCGTGTTGGGTATCTTGTCACGTGGCCTCAGCACGAACGCACCTGCGGCGTACGCGAACGCCCCCTCTTCCTCCGTGCTGTACGCTCCCAGCCGCTGCTGCTTACGCTTTCCACCTTCCTTAATCAGGATCTTCACGCCGTACTTGCCGGATGCTTTATCCAACTTCACACCCGTGTATCTGGAGGCACACGCTTCGTCATCATCCTCCTCGTCGTCTGTGTCTGACACGAGATCCTCCTCCTCTTCGGCCTTCACCGTCTCCTTCCCTCGCGTGTCTCCCCACACGTCAGCTCCAGCTGGCACACCCGCCCCGAGCAGGTGCATCCCGCGCGTGAACATCCAGTGAGGTATGGTCCCGTGCGAGAGGTGCGGGTTCTGCAGCAAGGTCGATGTCGGCTCACATGCAGCGAACGTTGAGGCCAGCGCAACCCGGGTGGCATTGCGCACGCCATCCTCCTCAGGACTGCTGTCATCCCGCCTCTTACGTGCAGACGGACGCTGTGGAGTGCGTGGAGCATTCTTGGTGCCACCCGCCTCTGCTTTCGCGCCGGTCCCCGCGTGACCCCCATGCAGCAGTAGGTGGGTTGCAGCTGTCACCACCTCGTCCCGCCTCAGTCCTACAAAGTTGGCGAGTACGGTGAAGCTGGCGTCCAGGTACCTCACATCGTTATTCAACGTCGCCAGACGCCTCATCATCTCCGTAACCCGTGCGTCCTCCACAGGGCGAGTGACCGGAGCTTGCCTCCCCTCTCCCATAGCAGCGTTCCTCTCCTGCACCACTGCCCCCTCATCGGTAACCCGGCCTTCGTCCTGCGGGGGGATTTCAATCCCCAGGTCCTCCAGCTGTTTAATAAGATCTCCGCACGCGTGTGCACACAAGTCGCGCCACATCTCCCGCATGTATTGGTGCGGTGTCACACCCTGGAACCAGAGGCCGTTCAAAACCGTGGTGAAGTCGGTATTCACCAGGGTCTTGAGGTACTGACAAACAAAAATCCCACAGTCCTCCTTGTTAGGCTGCTGTGGCAGCTTATCCTCCTGCAAATACGGGACCGCATATGCGAGTTAGAAATCAGTATACTTGCGGGCGCTTACTGCACATTGGTATCTACAGAGTCCGGTTGCATGCTCACCCGTAGAATGATGCAGTCCACCTCCGTCAGCATCTTGTCCACAAACTCCATGTTCGCGTTTGGGTTACTCGCCTTGGCGAGTTCGGACAGCACGCTGCACGCAAGAGGCCAGAGGCGTTTTTAAATACCGACCATGTACGACTACTGGAGACATTGTCATTAAAACCATGACTCACAGCTTGGTTCCTGCAAAAATCTTGCGGGTATTCCGATTCTTGATGGAACTGTCCAGCAAGACCAACGTCATGCGCTCCTTGCCCGTAGATTTCGATGACTTGGTGAGCACCGATGGACCTATAGCGATGACGACCGAATAGTGTTCACTGCGCTCAACATGAGGGGGGTTAAACGGATTAGTTGTTAGACAGTACACCCCGGCTCACAACAGAAACCACTCACAAGCACTTTATGCACGATACTCACGACTCGAGCACCGGGATCGCCAGATAATCGTGATCCAGAAGCGGCCGCCCGTTTCCCAGCGTTACCGGCGCTCCATAGTCATTCGTCTGTGTGTAAGCCTTGCAGTCCATAGCGGCCCATGTCTTCCCATCACGGAGCTTTGGCTTCCTGATGCTAAGCAGCCTGCCGAGTGCACGAAAAAGTTCATATCAGCACATCAGGGTCCGCGAGATCCGTAATAATCGCGCAACATGTCGCGTCAGGGGTGTGACTGTCGGAACGACACTTACACGTTGTGGAATTCGATCACACCATCAGTAATCCACCGATCGTCCTCTATGGACATGAGGTCGTCCTTATCCACTTCACATCCGACACCGCGGTGATTCATGAGCTTCATGTTGCTGTACGATGATTTCACATAATTCCGGGCGATAGTGGCCACCAAGTCGTCCGGCACCGGCTCTCGCGCCTTTTCCACCACATGATTCGCGAACTTCTGGGCCCTATTGTCGGCCTTGTTCGACGACCTGGATCTGGTGACGGGCGGGGCAGCATCTTGGTCATCGGAGCTGCTGCTAGTCTCCGGTTCATAGAACCGGTTGCGCTTAGAGACCAACTGCTTAGGTTTCGCCATCATGAACGAACACTGACAGGCATTCGGAAGACGAAGGAAGATCAATACGTGAGCACGGAGGGGATGACTGGGTGAGCACAGCAACTATGGGATCTCGCGACAATGGCACTATTCGGAAGGAAGGGGAGAGCAAGGCGTAACCCTTGCCTACAATGTCCAGCTGGTGCGAACGTCATGTATATACCCAATGGTCGACACCGTTGGCGCAACATCGCATGCGATGTCCAGGTGTGATGCGACAACTCGACTGGATGTGATGGTGAGGTGCCAAGCAGATCCACGTGTGAGAAGCCTAGGGTTTCGGTTGATGTGGTCCTCGGTGTGGGTGGTTTACCAAACCCGGTGCATGGAATACATTGTGGTTTCGCCATTTGAATACGATTTATTGCGGAATCCGAATGACGCGGAAACCGATAACGACGTACGCGGTAGGGGGCACATGTGGTCGTTGTGTCTCCAGCGTGCGCCAAGTCTTGATGATGATCTGGCAGAGTTGCCCGGGTTGAGATAATCGTGTACTGGTGAACGCGGTTGTTCAATGGTTTGCTATATCTGTATATTGCTGTAATATGCGGGGCTTGTTTAGGTGAAATGTGATACATTCCACACAAATTCAGTGCAGACTTTGGGAGTTTGGGGTTGGCTCCCGACATGTTTCCAGTGTAAATGTAAATGGCTCTACGCCTTTATGTGTCAAAGAGTTATCAGTTGAAATGTACAATTTCATACCCCAAATTAACAGTTTAGTGTACTTTCATTAATTGTAACACAAGATCCGCTATTCTGTGCACACGGTCTACGGTTTCTTGCACATGTGTGTTCGAGAAGTTTGTCCTCGGAGTTGTATTAGAGTGTACCTGAGGTACTCAGCAGTGGTCCTACTGCTGGCCCAGCTAGGGTTTCTTGGCTCTAGGATGACGGGGAACAGTTGCATGGTGTGCGAGACGGTGTTTAAGGACGACAGCAGGTTACAGTCGCATGTCGCTAATGGGGCAATTTGTCGCGAGGAGTTGAAGAGGAAACGAGAGAGTCTTTTGTGGGCAGCATATTTGGAAGCCATTGCATGTGACGGAGAGAGTAGACCTAACACACCACCGGCATCCCGTGTTAAAAATAACGATGGCAGTTTTGTTTCTGCTGCTCCAACAGCTTCGATCCCCGAAGTTAGCCTTGTTGGAGACGCGGATACACGACCTGACGGCGAACATGCCGAGTCCTCTGAAGACAGCGAAAGGAAGGAGATCTTTGATACACTGACAGAGTTGTACCTATTCTTCCGTGACGCCGATCTTTCGTACAGGGAAGTGAACCGTCTGCTGCACATTTTCCGCAATCCGCGCTTCAACCTACGGGCACTCAGACGATGGCGCAACTGGGTGGACGTGCGACGCTAGGGCATGGCGCGAGCTCCAGCCGACATGGTCCCGTGGAAAACGGAGGAGATAGTGGTGCGGGGCCCCAAAGGAATGCAAATGAAGCTGCTTCTGCACTTCCGCGACACAGAGTTGGTTCGTAATGGGAGGCCAACGCAGCTAGCGATGTCGTAATGTAGTGTCGGCCGTATGCATTTCCATGGAATACACGCGCTCACACCTGATTCTAACGTGATGCCCGCAGATTTTGAAGAAGCTGGTGCGAACGTTCTCATCGAAGAAGGGGTTCGTTTGGAACCCAAGGAAGATTCATCGGAAGAAGAATAACGAGAGGGTTTTTGAAGGCCCTGAGACGGGTGATTGGATGCACTCTGCTCAGGTACGAGAATCGGTCAGCCTGTCCCTATTTCATGTGTGCAGCAGAACATGCTAGATGCATTCGAATAACCACATCTCACTATTCAGTGCGTTCTACATGGCAGAAGGAGATTAATGACGAAGAGGCACTCATTCTAGGCGTGCTGATATACAGTGATAGCACGCAGGCATCACGGAATGGACGGAGGAACGCGTGGCCAGTGCTCATTTCACTTATTAACATACCAGAGGAATTGCGTGGAGTGGAGCCTGGGCACACATTGGCGGCGGTGCTTCCATTCCCACCTGAGTGGGCATCGCCTACGGAGAAGACGCGCGTTTTCCAGGAGGCACTAAAGATCATCCTCGCGCCCATCATGCGAGAGTCTACAAGGTACTTGGAGGGGAGGGGGGTGGGGAGGAGTACGCTACGATTGCAAGGGGCTGGGGGGCACCCCAGCAAGTAGGCAATGTGGGTTGAGTAATGTACATGTTGCATCGACTAACTGCATACCATGTGTGCATCACTACACTGTGCAGCGCTCCAGTTCGCTTCTTCTACTGCACAGATGCGGACGGGAAGGTGCACAAGGCGGTCCCTTGCCTGTACGGATACCCTGCCGACTTCCCGGAATCCAGCAGAGCATCTGCGACTCTTCAGCAAGGGTCACATCGGCCATGCGCTAACTGCTATGCAGACAAGGGGGAGTTGACCATGATGGTGGGGAAGGCCGATCCACGTACCCCAGAGAAGCAGAGGGACATTGTCCGCCAGATACTGGAGTGTAAGAAGAAAGGGGAGGCTGACGAACTGCGGAAGTTATGGTCAACCCATCCGATCGAGGTGTGTTAGCCGTTGGGTAGTTTGCTGGCTTGTAATACGCGGTGGACTCTTTAACAGCATTGTGTCTTCGGTTGGACCATGCAGTGTGTGCTTCACAGGTGGAATTTCGCAGACACAGAGTGGGGCAACGTGTACCTGGCATGCCTGGCAGACACACTGCATGTGCTGGACTCCGGTGTGCTGATCCACATGATGGACACCTACATCGAACCGCTTGGAAAGGTTGAGATGAGGCTGCTTGAACGGTGAGCTTGGTGTGGTTGGGTGTGCCAGCGGGACATGCTCTACCATGGGTGGGTTAGTTGGGTAGTAGCACAGCCTGTGTGCCACCAGATGACCACCTGGAACCATGTATGTGCGCAGCCGCAAGAAGGAGTTCAAGGGAATCACGCCTAGCGTTCTCCTCCGAATCCCAGGGGGCTCATCGTTCTTCAGTTCCGGCGCAAACTACGCGGCGTTCGAGCACAGGAGCATGATGCAGATAATGCCGATATTGGTGGCTGACGAGAGTGCGCTGAAGGGTGGAAAAGAGGGAGAGCTGCGTGCTTTGCAGGTCAAAGCGTTCAGGCTGTTTGCCGTGTTTTACAAGGCCTTTCTGGGGGTGGACAGGCACACTCACACAACAATTGCGATTGCCCGTCAGCATGCGATAGCGTGAGTACATATATGCATACTCCGGGTGTTTGGAGGGGGGAATGAGAGCGTATGCTAATTGTTTGTGCGGCCAATGTGGTGTAACACACGATGATGTATCGCGTGGTGTGTGTTATCGTGGACGCGTTGGCAGGTTGGTGGAGTTGCTACCGAGAGCATTTCGAACGCAGGCGTCCCACTGGAGACTCCCAAAGATACACATGATCAGGCATTTACTGGACAACGTTGTGCACCGTGGGATGCCGCACCACTATTCCACTGAAATGTGGGAGCGCACGCACAAGGGCACGGTTAAGGGTCCAGTAAGAGGGAGCAACTGGAGCGACATACCACGACGCATTGTGGAGGAGGAGGTGCAGCGAGAGGTGTACCGTGAGGTGGCGGCAGACGCGGGGGGTGGGCGACAGTACGCGTCCGCTTTGCGCGAGGTGCGTAAGGGTGCATGTGGTACCATGCTGGGCATTGAGAGTAGTCCTTTAGTGCGGTTTACCATGGACGAA